TATTACACAAATTCTTTTGGCTTCCAGAGTTTGAGTCCTATTTTTCCTGCTAGTCACTTTATCCCCGCCCCCATATGTTAAATGCAAAATTAAGCAAGCATATATCTAAAAAAAACCATCCCTTTATTACCTTTTTATTGAATGCCTATAATAAACTGAGCACAAAAGACATACTGCAGGAATTCAATCCAGCACAGGAATCATGTCCAAAGATAAATTACAACTGAGCATGGGATTCTAGTTCTTGTTTTGCGGCACATCTGGCAGTGCCACTCCCAGCTTGGTGCTAGGGAGTCAGATCCACACAATACTTGGGAAACCACGTAGTGCCAGGGTTGAAACACGGGCTGCACAATAGAAAGGAGCACTCTAGCCCTATGGGCTATCATCTCCCTAGGTCCACAGAGCAGCTTTTAATTAATTTTCGCAAGGGTGGGAACACAACTAGGCAGTGTTCTGGGATTATGTCAGGCTCTGTGCTCAAGGGATGCTCCTGATGATGTTCAGGGGGGTGTGAGGCCAGGGACTGAATCTGGGATCTGCATGCAGTCACTCAGGCCAGTGAGCTGCAATTCTTCTAAAAGCATAGGTGAGGCTTGCTCTTCAGCCCGTGCTCTCCCTTGAACACGTATCTCGCTTGCCTGATTCCACTCTAGAGAAGCCTGTGTTCTCTCTTGAATACACACTTCTCCCTTACTCTCCCCTCACATCTTTCTAAGTAAGTTTCAATAAGAACTCACTTGTTCCACTAACAAAAGAGATGAAACCATCAAACTAAAAATCAACCTGGTGAATTATAAAGAACTTTACCAAGGTAACAACTTTATCAAGACAGATGGAGAAAGTGAAGCAGGAGTTTAGTGGGTTAAAGTCTAGAGTCCAAAAGTCACAGGATTTGGGGAGAATTAAAGGTACATGAACCAAAATTATAATGGAAAAGAATACTGGATAGAAGGCTAGAAAGACATATGTCATACATATTAGAAACGATGTGTAATCTAGACTTTAATTTTTTGAGGATCTCAATATGTGTATAAATTTACTGTTTGGTACAGATCTATAATTAACATATCACTTACAAAAACTTGAATATCCCTTAAGTTTTTGACATTTAAGACTGAATCTAATTTTAGGATCTGAGAAGATCTATTAAATAAGAAGAGTGGCAAATTATATCCCCAGCACTTGTGAGGGACTGAGCTTGATCCCTGGTACCACAGGGCCCCTCAGTACCCCTAGGGTAACTGTGGCTTCGAACACCAGTGGGTGTGGGCCCAGCATTATCAGGCCCACAACATGGGGGTCACAAAGCTTCAGGAGTGTGACCCTTCAGGAGGCTCCTTGCCTACTGCTTGGTATAGATCCTATTTAAAAACAAACAGAAAAACCTTTTATAAAGGAGAGAACATTTCTTGATATCACTCAAAATCTTGAAACTTACTTTTAAAATGGATTTATCCAGATTTGCCGGACCACCAGAATCATTTGCAGAGTTAAAACTATAAATTTTGGGGCCTGTATATAATAGAAAACAAAGTTGGGGAAGTTTAATGTTTCATTTCCATTGCACCATTTTACTTATTTAAAGATTGTTGAATAGTAAATGTTGTTTAACTTTGAAATCCTCCCCTCCCCCAAAACTTTACCAAATAACTCAATCCTGAAGTTAGTAGCACCTTCTCTAAATTTTCTAAAATACTATCAATTAGGGTCAGAGACATAGTACTACAGGTAGTGTGCTTATCTTGCAGATGCCTGACTCAGATTAACCCCTGGCACCCCATGTAATCCCCTAAGACCTACCAGAGTGATCTCTTAATGCAGTCAGGAGGAGTATGCCCTAAGTTCCACCAAGTGTGGTCAAAAACCCTGATCAAAAAACACTATCAATTAGTACTCTTTAGTCTACTCATTCCTGTGGTTTGTTAGTTTGGCCTTTCTTCGGTGGGGGTGGAGTGGGGTAAGGTCGAACTTAGTATGCTCGAGGGTCATTCAGCTGGGTGTGAATACTATATTTTATTGTTGTATGCTTCATGAATGAACTAATTTCTTATAAAATGCAAATAACCACATATCATTTACATGAAATACATAATCAACTTCATATTTTTAAAAAGCATATGACTATCTTCTTGACATTTAGCTGAAGATCACTTGGAAGATAGTCCTGGCAGAGAAGAAAGGTAATTTGAAAAAAGAACATACCACTTAAGACAATAAGGAGGCAGAGTTCATATTACCAGCTACCGAGTCCAAAGTAGTTATATTCACTTACTAGGGTGCTTGTCACAAAGTACCACAAAATTGATGGCTGAGATAACAGACTACAAGATAACATACTACAAGCTAGAAATCTAAAATCCAGGCATACGAAGAATCAGGCTCCTCCTGAAAGCGCTCACAAAAATCCTGGCTTTTCTCAAATCTGGTAACCCTTGGCACTATTTGACATGCTTACCTGCTTTTTCACAAGGCTCCCCACTCAGCATTCTTCTTTATAACTCATGGAAATCTCCCTTTCCTTTCTCTAGATACTAGTAATTGAATTTATGCTGCACCTTAAAAATAAAGGATGATTTCATCTCTAGATCCTTAAACCAGCTAATGTCGCTCCACCACTTAATAGCAATACTGGCCTCACTCACATAACTCAAGACAAGACATTCGTCTGGTCTTCCTGGGACAAACCAAGTTTGTTCCCATCTTAGGGCCTTTGTCCTTGTTCCCCAGGTCTTACACATTCAGTCTTCAGATCTTCCGACAAATGACTGCTTCAAATCATTCAGGCTAAAAGACTTCCTTGAAAACAGACCACATACCTCAATTTATTCCTTATCCTAGTTTTCTGACCTTCCTGTTTTAATTTTGGTGCCCCCCCCAAATACTTAGTATGATTTTTATGAGCTTTAACAAATGACATATCCCCCATTTACAAAGGTAAATCTTTGCATTTTATAGCAGTCCCTACCCCTCAATTTTCCCTGGCAAAGGAGCTATTCTAAAACAATTTAATGAAAAACTGAAATGAAAAATCCAGAGTGGCAAAATACAACACATTTGTACCATGATCCTAATTTTCTCCCAGATGAGAACAAAACTTTGAAAAAGTACGCTATGTATTTACATATGCTATGTATAATGCTTCAAGCTGTTTGGAAAGATTAACATGAAAATGAAATAGTACCTTTTCACTTAGATTAGGAGCTAAGAGTTTGAACAATGTTTATTGTGAATATTTCCACTTTTTTCTCCAGTGCAGTGCTATTATATGTTACATAAAAACCAAACAAGGTGTGGTTCTGCAGTAGAGTACAAGACTCACATGCATGTCTGAGGCCTGGTCAAAAAATTTCAAACAGAAAAAAAAAATAACAAAAACCAGGTAGCAATTTTATTTATGTGGCTATATTGTTATAAGAAATTCCCTACGAATTTAGTACAGAGCCTCATTTCTTGATTTTCGGGGATGGGGGTCATGGTTTGGGCCACACGGGGCCGCTCAGGGGTCACTCCTGGCAGGCTAGGGGGTCCTTATGGGTTGCCAGGGGTTGAAAGGGAATGGACCGCAAAGCGCGTTATTTCTGAACTATCGCTCCAGCCCTCAACTGTTCATTTTCAAAAATCATCGGTGGCCTGATGACCAATCTGCAGGAGTTTACAATCAGAAAGCGCAAAACTGTCTGGCTGTGGTTAAGACTGCGGGTGTTTTTTAAAATAGGGTATACACATTCAGATTCTTATTAAATGTTTATTTTTTCCCCCATAACAGATGGCAACAACTCCACTGTAGCTGAACATGATGAGAGCAGGTAGGGAAACGGTCACGAACTGTGCGTTAACCGCGCTCATTGAGATCTGTAACCCCGAATTGGTTCCTACCTAGCAAAAGGGGTGCAAGCGCAAATTTTAACTTTAGAGCAGGAAGGCGACAACGTGGGCTAGGAGGCAGACGCCAAGTTGCAACTGGGCCCCCGTAAGGAACTCACACCTCCACAGGGCTAATGATGCGGCACTACCTGTTCCAGGCGCCGAAGACACATTTTTTGTGGTTTGGCGGGGCCACAACCGGCGACGCTCGGGGCTTACGGCCTGGGTCTGCACTCAGGAGTCATTCCCGGCAGTGCTGGGGTGGTGGTGGTGGGGGGGAACCATACGGGAAGTGGGGGATCGAACCCAGATCGGCGGCGCGCAAGGCAAGCTCCCTCCCCGGCTGGACGATCTCCGCAAGCTCCGAAGACGCGCCCTTCGCGGCCCAGGACCCTACCAGGTGCGAAGGCGTCGCCCTCAGAACGAGCATCGGGAGGCTCAGGCAGGAAGCCCAGCCGCGCCGGCTAACCTCCCGTACCTTGCTTGCCCCGGGGATCCTTGGTGCTGGAGGCTGCGGCGGGAGGCGGCCTGGCCACCGGCTTCTTGCTCGGGGCCTCTCCTGCGGCCCCGGCTTCCGCGGCTTTGGCCCTGGAAGCAGACACGGCGGCGCGGACCGCCGCGGCTCCGGGAGCCTTGTGTTTCTTGTTCTTGCCGCCCATGCTGCAGCAATGGCCAGAGGATTCCCGCCCCCTCCTCGGTTCGCGTCCTGGAATTACCCACCCCCAGCCAGGACTCGGAAGTTCGTCACGTGCCCCGGGCCCCGCGCCGCCACCCGGCGCCCTTAAATCCGGGTTCCGCCGGCCGGGTCCATCGCTGCCTCGCTATTGGTCCGGTTTTCCCAGGACCCGCCTCCTCGCCGCTCCGGACGTGCCGGCTCCGTACCGGGCTCCTTCACCAGCCTGCTCTGGCCGCACTCTCGCTCGCTATTATTAAGCTGCCCGCTGACTAGCGATCGGAGAGGAACGACCGGAAGGAGAAGGGCCAAGACAGAAACTAGTGTTGAAGAAGAATTACTGGCGATTGTGTGACTCGACTATTTTTGGCTCCCACCGGCCACGGTTGCAGAGGGGGGCGTTACTCGCGCAGTCGCGGTGCATCCTGGGTAGCAGGGAGATTCGGCCTCTTCCCTCCCCCTCCCCACACCCCCCTCCACCGCGCTCCGAAAGATGGCGGACGCTTTCGGCGATGAGCTCTTCAGCGTGTTCGAAGACGACTCGACGACCGCGGCCGGGACCAAAAAAGACAAGGAAAAAGAGAAGGCAAAATGGAAGGGGCCGCCGGGCTCTGCGGAAAAGCCTGGGTAAGGAAGGCGTGCACGGTGGCGGCTTTTTTTTCCTCCCTCGTCGAGAGGAAGAGGACGCGACTTTCTTCGGGAGAGCGGGAGGAAGCGAGGCGTCCCCCCGCCGGAATCGAGCCGTGAGGGGGTTGAGGACGTGTGGAGAGGGAGAAAGAGCGTCTCCCTCGGGGGCGCGGGGGTCGTTCGCGCCCGACGCCGCGAGCCGGGAGCTGGTCTCCGGCGCCGAGGCACTGGGTCGTTCGAGCCGGAGGACGCGGGACCGCTCGAACCCGGGGCTTCGATTCCCGGGATTGATCACGGGGATTGGCTTGGAGGGGGAGAAAGAGAGAGAAATTAGCCACACAGGAGAGAAACCTTAAGTTCCGGCGAGGGGTTCTCTTGCCGGAGCAAGGAGGCACGGGGCGTTCCACGAGGGTTTCGGGGGGTGGGTCAGACATTCTCAGATGCTGGCTCCGAATGAGTTAAAACTTGACAAAAACGTAGATTTTTTTTAAAAAAGCGATTGTCTTTGTCCCGTTCTGTAGCCTGGTGGCGATAGGCACCGCGAAAGGGTGCAGAGATCGCAGTTAGATGAAGAAGGTGACTCGTTGTGTACCCACAACACGATTTGCTGTTGACGTGTTTGTGTTTGTGCCCGGGAGGATTTTCAGCCTGGGACCGGAGAACGAGCGGGTCACCTCCGGGCAGGAGGCTACTGAGATCCAGCGCGTTAGTATCCTGAAGGCTCCGCGGACCGGAGGGTCCGGAAATCCGTGTCTGTTAGTGGCTCCCGGGAGAGCCCAGCGCGCGCCCTGGGTGTCCCAGAAACCGGATGCGCAGCGCGTGCGTTTTTGTTTTCAGCCCTGCAGAGTGGACCCGAGGGCATCCTTGTCACTGCAGCAGTTTAAGGCCGGGGTGACACATCGTTTACGGTCTCGTAGAGTCTCGCTATGCCCTCTCTAGGGTCTGGATTGTCAAGCAGCCGGTTTTGGGTCTTTTACGGGCTGGTCGACTGACCGATCACCAGTAAGGAAACCTAATTTGGTCGAGGTGTGTCAGCTTAGGGAGAGAGGAAAGATACAGACGGTGGGAAATTTAGTTAGCACGGTAATGATCCGAGGAGATAACGAGCTTTAAAAATAACATGCCCTCAGTTCAGGGAAAAGGAAATTATGCGAAGATGTGAAGAAAAGAAAATAATGGGTTGGCTTTTACTCAGGAAAAAAGTGAAATGGAAATAAAGAGACTTCAGAGAGAAGGACAATAAGATTCAGAGAAAATTATTTAGTAATCGTTCATTAGACAAAGTAAAGCACTGCAGTTTATTTATTGAACAGATGGTTGAATTTTAATCAGGGTTTGGAGGGACTTCTGAACAGGAGGTGGATGGATATTTGAGCTGGTTTGGGTTGAGGTGACATCCCTTTGGGAATGTATAGTGACACTTAAAGAGTAGGGGGACAGCAGGGAAATCAGGAGTGAAATGTCACGTGAAAAAGTGGAATAGAGTAGAAAAAAATGTCTCCTTGAGTTACAGGGTGTCGTAGAGTTTGGGGGAACTTTTCAAGAAAATGAAAAAGAACAAGTGTTGTTTTTCCTCCGCCCCCTTCCCAAAGATAATTTAAGATTGTACTGTTTGAAAGGGCAACTTGTCTGCGATGTTTACAATATAATATATAAGTAATTTCTCTAATTTTAGTATTGACACTAGCATAGGTTTGGCTTTTCCTGATAACTAATGGGTTTTGAACTTATTTGTATATGCTTATTAGTCATTTGCATTTTCTCTGTCATAAAGTATAAATTAAAATCTGCTTATTTTTTATTGAATGGCCTTTTATTTGGCAAGTCCCACTCCTAGTATTTTGGATATAGGTTTTCTTGTTTTTGTCAGTTATATCTTTTACTTTGTTTTGACTCTATTAATGGTACCTTTTGATGAACAAGTTCTGTTTTTTTTTAACAAATTCTTTGTTTTAATACATTCCATTTATCAAAAATTTTTGATTACCAACTTTCAACTTGTTTAATAAAATAGTCAAATAAATTTCTCAATTAAATTACATTTATTTGTACCTCCCAAATGGTTCTCAGGAGACCTGAGGGTCCTGTCAGCAGTTCTTGGCCAGTGGGCTGGTGGTACAATGAAAGGGCTTGAGGATGTGATGTTACTCAGACCTTGTGGTGCTAGGGGGTACCCAGGACACCCTAGTCTGGTGGAGCTTAGGGCCTCTAGGCCTGCACCCAGTGATGCTGTGTTGAAGCTGGGTTAGGTGCATAATAGGCACATACCCTAAACTTTGCTCTCCCAGCCCATTTTTCAGTTTTCAATTTTATTATTTTAGTCTTTTACAGTTATGTATTATAGTAAAGTAAGTTTACCTTTTACCTTTTACAGTTATGTATAACATAACAATCAAGCATGATTGATTTTGTAGGAGAGGGGTCAGGGATCCCTCCCAATCTGTATTCTGGGTGGTCTCAGGGTCTACTCGTAGAGATAATTGGTTCATCCATCAGGCCTCACAGTTCAGTGTTTTGGCCTAATGGTACTGGAGTCTAGTAGGGTCTGATCCAGTGGTGTTTGTCAGGGGATATGGTACTGGGGAATCAAACTCAGGGCCTTGTGTTTGCCAGGCATGGTATCCAGTCCTTTGAGCTCTCTCCCTGGCCCATGGAATTGATTTTTGTTTACAGCAAAGATTTGGGTCATATTGAATTTCCTTTTTGAATGTTCTGTCCTCCAAGCAACATTTAATTGCCACTATTTCGATCACTGACCCCAATCACAAAATATTTTTCCTCCCAAATAGAAACAGTGCCATTAGAGAAATCATTAAATTGTTTGTTGAAGTTGTTCCTGTAAATATCTAAAGGTTTTACATTTAAGAATGGGCTGGAGTGATAGCGCCACGGTAGGGCGTTTGCCTTGCACGCAGTCAACATGGCCGACCCGAGTTCGATTCCTCCGCCCCTCTCGGAGAGCCCGGCAAGCTACCGAGAGTATCTCGCCTGCACGGCAGTGCCTGGCAAGCTACCCGTGACGTATTCGATATGCCAAACACAGTAACAACAAGTCTCATGATGGAGACGTTACTGGGCCCACTCGAGCAAATCGATGAACAACGGGAGGACAGTGACAGTGACAGAAGAATAATGTCTATTCACTGATGGTGGGGTTATGAGGTCCCAGGGCCACGCCCAGTGATATGTAGCTTGGTGGTATTCGCCTGAGAGTGAGGAGCATGCCTGAGGGTGGTGCCTGGGGGCCACCAAGGCCACATCAGGTGGTGTTCAGGAAACTATGCAGTATCAGGGTGCTTCGCGTAAACCAGGCATATATGTCAATGGCTTGAGATTTCTCCCTAGCCCTAATTTAGAATACGGAGAGGATTATGTAGTAATGTTAATATGAGTATTTTTACTTTAAAAACAGAATTTCCAAAAACTATAGAAGAGGAAAGAAAAGTAGGAAAGAAAAGTAGTAGTGTTTTGATTTTATTAGACAAGGAAGGTATTCTGAGTTTCAGTTTAGACTTATCACTTCTGTTTGTGTGCTTTTTTTCTAAACTGTCTTAATTATGTATGGAGTAATATTTTGTGAAATCAACCACAAAATATGACCTGACACTTCAGAGTTCATTTTAAACTCTTTACAGAAAACGTGTTGATGATAAATTGCAGTCAGAATCAACTAATGCTGGAAAAACCAAGAGAGATGCAGATTTTGAGAGCACAGATGAACCCATCTTTGGAAAGAAGCCCCGAGTAGAAGAGACAATAACTGAAGATATAAGGTAGTATTTGCATTGTTATAAATGTAATTAAAGTTTGTGAGAAAATAAAATTTATAATTATAAATGTATTATTTTTGTTCTGGGGCCACACTTGGTGCTGCTTGAGGGCTTCTCCTGACTCCCTGCTCAGGGACTACTTCTGGCAGTGCTCAGACGGCTCTGTGGTGTTGGGAACTGATGCTGGACTCCTGCATGCAAAGTGTGTGCTCAGACCATTGAGCAAGCTCTCTGGCCCCGTGAATGTTAGTACTTCAGTGCCTTTTATGAATGTGATTGCAGAGTTAAAGAAAAGAAGAAAACGTATTCATGTTTATATAAACTTAAAAAGCACTAAAGTAAGTTTCAGGGCAATGAAAGACTATAGGATAACACTTTAGAATCCAGTTCTGAGATTTTTTTTAAAGAAACACATAATTCTAATCAGTGCATTCTAATATTACAAAAGCATATTTAAGAAAGCCACACAAACATTTGCTTGACCCCATCTCAGTGAACCAATCTGTGAGTTAGAGAATACCTCTTCAGCTAGTTGGAAGCAAGGAAGCTACTAAGAATAGGCTTTATTGGTGACTTCAGCCCTTTGCTTTTCACTGCTAATTGTATTTTTATGCTCAATTAAATAGCTCCTGCAAGGTGATTTTCCATGTCTTCAGCTTCTTAATTAGGCTAATCTATTTGCAAATGGGCACTGTTTTAATACCTCATCAAAACCCTCACAAAGCTTAAAGTCACCCAGGTTCTGGGCACACTCCAAAAGCTTTTTCATATCATAATGACAGGGCCCAAACTGCTGCTGTTGCTGGTAAGCTGGCTGAGTTCTCTCAGGTGGTTGATCGGTGATATCAGTGACCCTGTGGGCTCAGCATTACTTCGTCCACGAATGGCATGACTAAGAGTGTGGCCAACAGCAGTGCCTCCAGCTACATCAGCTGCAGTGCTTGCCATCTGGGCCATGAGAACAGGCTGCTGGGAGGGAGTGGCTGGTGACTGAGGTGCTGGTGCTGTCCTAGGCTCAGTTCTCATCTATGGTGCCCAGCTGGCCGGAGGCAGGGGTAACGCATGAGGTACAACTGGCTTCATCACAGCATGACAACTGCACATGCTTTAGCATCTACAAGAACAAAACTGAGGAGACCTCAGGGTCTCCGGAGATGGCCCAGTTCTGAGATTCTTAAGACTTTAGAATTTTTTTTGGTGGGGTGGGGCACACCTAGCTGTGCTCAGGGCTTATTCTTGGCTCTGTATTCAGGGATTAGTCTTGGCTCTATATTCAGGGATTAGTCTTGGCATGCCTTGGAGTTTATATGGGGTGTCAGGGATCAAACCCAGGTCTGCGATGTGCAAGGCAAACATCCTGCTTATTCTGTCTGACTCCAGGCCTTTTTATTTTTTTTTAAAGAAGAAGAAACAACATATTTCTTTAGTCATCAGAGATAGCTTTGACATTTTAAAGTCGTATCTAAAATGCATCCAGAAAAAAAGACCATTGGAAGAGTTCGTTTCCTCCTCCAGCTCTTAGCTGACCAATTTGAATTCTCAGTGTGTATTGGAATATTATGAAAACAATATTTTCTTTTTGCAATGACTCTCCCCAGTGGTCTTGTGACCACTCCTTAGGATATTAGACTCAGCAGTCAGACTTGAAAGTTCAGTTATAGTGCGTCGTGGTGCATTGTTAGTTAAGGCTGAAAGCCACTGAAGCTACCTACCTATAAGTCCTCAGGGGCCACTGCAATGCTGGTGGTTCAAACTCAGCACCTCGTGTGTTCCAGGTATGATCACCTGCTGTTTAAACTATCTGCCTTGCCTCTTTGTATTTTCTTGATAGCTAAGTTTTTCCCTATTTTGTCTGCAGATATTAGGACAGTATAATTTTCTTCAACAGTGCAGATAAGAGGCTTATTCATTATAAAATAATTATTTTAATATTGCTTTACCATTTCTTTTTCTTTTTAAAGTTTGGCAGACTTGATGCCCAGAGTCAAGGTGCAATCTGTTGAAACTGTTGAAGGGTGCACACATGAGGTAAGCATAGAGAGTAGTATCATCGGTTGGGATGATTAGTGGGCTTTTGCATATACTAATATCATGATCAGCAGTTCAACCTTAAGGGCTTTGGAAAGAATAGTTGTTTCTGTGGGGGATGCATGACTTAGTGACCATTTCCCATTGCCCCTCTGGGCTTCTTAGGTATTCCAAGAGGACCACACATGAAAATTGCATAAATGGGAGATCATGGCATATAGCATGAAACTAGGGGGCCATTTGGTAGGTGGATTTGGGCACTGGAGAGAAACAATTTTAGGGGGCCACAATCAGGAAAAATAAAAAGTTGAGAAACACTGACTCAATCAACACAAAAGAGGTTGAAGCTTTTTGTTCAGACATAAGCTCAGGTTCTAGCACAGCACTTTGCCTAGCTTTTTTAAAAACTGTAGTCTGTTACATGAGGTTAATGTTTTAGATGTGGTTTTGTGTGTATTTGTTATTTTAATTTCTAGATGATCATTGCATATTGTAAGAAATGTACACGGAGATTCCATTTCATCTATTTCCTCCCAGTCTAATAATTTGGAATAATTACTAGATAATATCAGAACCAAGAAATTGACATCCAAAGACCTCTTTTAGATTTCTCCAGGTTTATATGCTTTCATTTGTGTGTATGTGTGTATATTGTGGGAAAGGAGGATCACAGAGGCTTTAATTCTCTGCAGTTTTATCATATGTATGCACTTATCACCACAGTCAAGATACAAATGTGTTCTGTAATCACAGGTCTTCTTTCTGCCTATTTACCACCACATCCCCCCTCATCCCCACACTGACAATTACCAACCAGGTTTCTTTAAAATTTTATTGCTTCAACATTATTATCCAATTGTTGTGAAATAATAAAACTATTCACTTAATCACTTAATCCCCGTTATTCATCGATTTTTTCGAGCGGGTGCCAGTAATGTCTCCATTCATCCCGGTTGCGTGCTAGCGTAGCCCAATGGTATCTGTTCGTTTTAGGAACATGTAGAGCCTCAAACCGATCATTTAGGGTCTTGACGAAGAAGTCTGACCATCTTATAGGTGGGCGTCCACGTGATCTTTTGATGTCTCGTGGAATCCAGTCAGTAATGGCTCTAGTTCAGTGGTTGTCTGTAAACCTCATTACGTGTCCAGCCCATCTGATTTTTGATGTCTTGGCAAATGAGACAGCGTCCCTGATTCTTGAGCGTTGATGAAGATCAGAACTCCGGATTCTATCTCTCATTTGAGTGAATCGTGATATTCCAAGCATAGTTCTTTCGATTCCTCTTTGAGAGACCCGAATAGCGTTCTCATCCTGTTTTCGTAGGGTCCAGGTCTCTGAGGCATATGTTAATGCAGGAAGAATAGTGGAATCAAAGAGAAGTGCTCGTAGCTGGAGGTTCTTTGTCCTTTTAGTTATTTCTTCAATGCTCTTGAAGGCGTTCCAAGACGCTCTCTTCCTCCTGTGCAGCTCAGGTGCCAGGTCATTTGTCATGTTGACTTCTCGACCTAGGTACACATAACTGTTGCATTCGGAGATGGTGGTTCCGTTGAGAGCGAATGGAGCGTCAGGAACAAGGCTGTTTCTCATAAACATTGTCTTCGTAAGATTCAGCTGTAGTCCGACCTTTCCACATTCACGGTCAAAGTCGTTCAGCATTTGTGCCGCTTGGTTGATGTTTGGTGTTATTAGAACGATGTCATCAGCAAAGCGGAGGTGGTGTAGTTGCCGACCATCTATCTTCACTCCCATGTTTTCCCATTCCAGTCGTCGCATGATGTTCTCGAGGGTGGCACTGAAGAGTTTTGGTGAAATGGTATCACCCTGCCGAACCCCTCTCTTGATATGGATGATTACTTCTTTGTAGAATGGTGAGATCTTGGTAGTGAATCCGCAGTAGAGCTCACGAAGGATCCTGATGTATTGAGTTTGTACGCCCTGATTGGCTAGGGCTTCCATGACCGCTTCCGTCTCAACAGAATCAAAGGTCTTCTTTAAATCAATGAACGTTAGACAGAGCGGCATCTTGAACTCCCGAGATACCTCAATGAGCTTGGTTATTGTGTGGATATGGTCGATGGTACTGAATCCTTTTTGGAATCCAGCTTGTTCACATGGTTGTCCTTCATCTAGTGTTCTGCTAATCCTATTCAGGATGACTCGAGTGAATAGTTTGTAGATGACAGACAATAGGCAGATTGGGCGATAGTTGCCAATGTCGTGGATGTCTCCTTTCTTGTATAGTAGTACAGTCTTGCTGGTTTTCCATTGGGATGGAACCTTGCATTCAGACAGGTAGCGTGTGAAGAGTCGAGCCAATGTATTGATGAGTACTGATGGTAAGTTCTTCAGGTGTTCAGGTCTGATCTTGTCTGGGCCAGGTGCTCTTTGTTTCTTTACAGACGAGATGGCATGTTGGATTTCGGAAGGGAGAACATTGGGAACGACATATCCATCATGTGGTATGTGGTATGTGGGCAAGTGGATGTGGCTATTAAAGAGATCTGAGTAGAAGTCATGAATAATCTTCTCCATTGCTCTTCTGGAAGATGTGATAGATCCATCATGATGTCGGAGGGCAGTCATCTTGGTTTTGTATTTGGTGAAGGACAGGCGGGCATTACGAATGTTTTTCCCAGCTTCTGCTGCATCTACCAGTACTGCTGCTCTCCTGTTTTTGAGGTCATCCTTGATGGCTTCTCTGCACTGTTTTGCCAGTTCGGACGTTTGCTTGTGGTTGCTGAGGCACGTGCCAAGCCACGTTGGCGAATAAGTTCAAGAGTGTTCGAAGAAAGACGGTTTTTTGTGGTTATCTCTCTCTTGGCATTCCTTGCACAATCATGGAGGTGCTGAATCATTTGATCGTATTCCTCATCAATGTTGTCAATGACGGCATCTTCCCATGTTGCCGCAACAGAGCCAAAGAGCTCCCAGTTGGTGGTCGTTCTGGGAGTCCTCTTCTTAAACCTTGCATTCTTTTCTCCTCATTCTGTGAGGTAGAATTTTGCACGAATAAGACGGTGGTCTGATCCCGTTTGGAATTTTGGGACAACAGCAACATCGGTTAGGCAAAACCGCCGATTGAATATGATGTGATCTATTTCATTGTGGAACCGTCCATGGGGAGACTTTATTACCTTATGAAATTAGGCTTAATTTCATAATTAAGTTTAAAATTAAAACCATAATTTTATGAGATGCATCCAAATTGTTGGCTATATCCTTTTTTTGTTTGTTTCTTGTATATGGTATGGCTGTGTGACTGCTCACCCAGTGGAGTACTTGTTTCAAACTGCTGTGAATTTTGGTTTAAAGATTTTGTGAGAACATAAGTTCTTTCATGTGGAGTATATGCTAATATGACACATTACAATTTTTATTGTTGAATTTTGAATTAGGAATCTGTCTAGGGAGGCTATAAAAATTGTATCGGAAAATTGGATTAAGTATCCAGCATAGATTATTTACTAGTGTTTGTTACCATTCTTTGGAAGTAATAATGCTCTTTTGTAGGTTATGTCCCTTTTTTGTCTTGTTACAGTGACTGATTTATGGCAGTTCCATTGGTATGCCACAATTCTAAGATACAGGATTTTAAAGTATTTGCAAGTGCCCTACCCTCTGTACTCTTGCTATAGTCCCTTGACTGTAGTAATTCTTGAGTGAAAAACTGATTTTCTTCTCTCTGATATTAGGTTGCACTTCCTGCAGATGAAGATTATTTACCTCTGAAACCCCGAGTTGGGAAAGCTGCGAAGGTCTGTATTTAATAGCAGTTTTGTACTGCTGTAAAGTTTTTTTTCCCCTTAAAAATCTTAGTCTTTCAGATCACATTTTTATATTTTGCAGTGTATATATAACAATAAGCCACCTCTTTTTAAATATGGTGAGAACTAAATCAATATATTGAAAACCAAGCATCATAAGATATTTTGTTTGTTTTGAGGCCACATTGAGGACAACGCTTGTCCCTTATTCCTGGCTCTGCACTCAACAATTACTTATGGTGGGGCTCAGGGAATATATAATGGGAATGAGGGATCTCACCCATTCAGATGTGTGCAAGGCACGCATTCTGTTATCCCTTCTCTCTGGCCAGAGGTTTTTTTATAAGTTCGTGGTTCTTCAATCTTTTAAAAGAATGGAAATCAGCAATTTTTGCTCTAGGAAAAAGTATTCATAGTAAGTTTGCCTGTAGTTTTAGTGTCTTAAGTCATTTTGTCAAAATAAAAAGTGATGGTATGGTGGAGCGTGAATTCTTAAAATCTGATAGAATTTTCTGCCTCTGCTGAGTGAACTTCAGTGAGGAACATCAGGATTTAGGGCTTCAAAGTTCTGTGAAAAGAACTTACTAATGTGGAGTCTGGAATTTTTGTAATCTGTAGAAAATTGTGTTGTACTTGCCTGTGTTGTACTTGCCAGTGTTGCACATGCAAGTCTTTGATAAATGGTAATGACCACTTTATAGTAATTAAAGTATCTATAAGCATAATTTATTGAAAGATTAGCCAGTTGAATTTATCTTCTTTGCTACCTGGTTAAAGAAGTCTTTTACTCTTCCTAGTTTTCTCTAGTGGGTGACATATTTCCTGAATAAAATTTGTCCCTTTTGATTTAAAGTTAGCTTTAGTATGGCTTAGTATTTTTATGCACTTGCTAATTTTTTGTTTTTATAGGAATACCCATTCATTCTTGATGCTTTTCAAAGAGAAGCAATTCAGTGTGTTGATAATAATCAGTCTGTTTTGGTGTCTGCACATACTTCAGCAGGAAAAACTGTATGTGCTGAGTAAGTAGCTTTTCTTTTTAAATAAAAGTTTTAGTTTATTGATTGTTTCATGCCCAGTGATGCTCCAGGCTTCCTTGGACTCTGCCCAGGGGTCACTCCTGGTGGTGCTCAGGGGACGTAATGTGGTGCTCCGAATAGAACATGGGTCGATTGTGTGCAGGGCAAGCATCTTAATCCGTACTGTCTCTCCCATCCATGCATACTGGTTTTTGGTTGTCTGCCAAGACATTGAATTTTGCTGCCTTGCATCATGCATATTTTTGTACCTACGTTCTTGACCTTTATGCTTTAGTAAAATCAATTAATTAAAAAATATATAATATCCTCAAGGCTTTTATGGCTTTTCAGATGGGACTTGGAGTAGCTTTAGTTTAGGTCTAATTTTTGCTACGTACTTCAATAATTCTTTAGTTTTATCTTTTCAGTAAGGCTTTTGATTCATTTGCTTTGGGGCCATACCCCCTGGTGCTCAAGGCTTATTCTTGGCTCTGTGCTCAGGGATTACTCCTGCTAGTGTTCAGAGATCTATATGTAGTGCTGTGAATTGAACCCTGATTGGCTATATCTCTGGCCCCTTGGAATTAATTTTTTATATGATTTCTAATGGTAAAGATTTTTTGTTGCTTACAATTTTTTGTTGTTGTAAACAATTTACTTTATTGTTTTTCATGTGGATATCTAGTTGTCTTGACCGAATTTTTTGAAGACTTTTTCCTCTACAATCTTGACCATGTGTTAAAACATTAAATTAAATTGTGGTAAACGGCCTCTCTGGCTCCTGATCAAGCTACTTAACAGCCACGATCCCAGAGACTCAGAAACAAATTGGAAACCCAAAGGCTTTTGGCAGAAATGCGTCCGGTCCCTGCAGTAGGTTACCGGTGTTGGGCCACCCCAAGCGGGAATAGGTTTCGTGCCTTGGCGTGTTCCCCTTGGCGGTCTGGTAGCTGCCATCCTCCAGAGGCCAGTCAGGTTTGGGCCCTCAGTGACGAGACACATGGGGCCTCACGGGATGGTGGTGGAGCAGGCCCTTTCCTCCCCATCCCAACCAGACCCTAAGTCATTGCCCACAAACAGCCTCTCTGACTCCTCATCAAGCTGCTTAATGGTCATGATCCAGAGACTCAGAAGTAAATCTTGAAACCCAGCGGCTTTTGGCAGAAAGGCGTCCAGACTCCTCAGCAGGTTACTGTTGTCAGGCCATCCCAAGGGGAAAGGGTGCTGTCCCTCCACCTGCTCCCCCTTGGTTCAGTGGCTGCCATCCGCCAGAGGCCATTGGACAGTCAGGTTTGGGCCTGCAGTGACGAGACACACGGGCCTCATGGGATGGGAGTGGAGCCGGTCCTTTCCTCCCCACCCCAACGAGAACCCCAAGTCATCACCCACAAATGGCCTTCCTGGCTCCCGATCAAGCTGCTTAATGGCCATGATCCTAGAGACTCAGTAACAAATTTCGCAACCCAGCAGGTTTTGGCAAGAAATCCCTCTGGATTTAATTGTTAAAATTTCGGAATTTCAAAATCGCACGGCCACTACTGCAGCCATGCGACATCATATGTTATTCATAACCAGCAATAGAAAACAAATTGCCTACTGTTGCCTTTTCAGCAGATCTGAGTATTGGGTAAAATCCCAAATTTTGGGTGTGGTATCGAAATGTTGAATGTAATCAAAGTATAGAGAGAGTAATTTGGAAATCATCTGCCCCACAGGTAGGGGGAGGGTGTAGGATGGGGCCATACTGGGGATTTTGGAGGTGGATAATGGGCACTGGTGAAGGTACGGTTATTTTATTGTATGACCGAGAGTTAAACTCGAAAGCTTTGTAACTGTTATTAAGGTGATTCAACAAATAAAAGTATAAAAAATTGGGGAAAAAAGTAAGGTGGATTCATGCACAATTCAATCAGCCTAATCAGTGGCTGAATAAATAGCAGTACTCTTATATTAAAAAAAAATTAAATTGTGGTGCCAAAGAGATAGATCCAGCTTTTAAAGCTTTTGTTTTGTCAGTGGGATTGTATCATTGAAGACCCCGCTGAGGTCAAGATCTTGAAGATCTTGGTTATGTTAATTTTGATTTTGCTATTAAGATTTATTTATTGAATCATTACCTTTTAGGGATGGGGGGGGAGCTTCTGGGGCACATCAGAGTTCTAGGGAGTTACTTGTGGCTGATCCTGGTAGGATCCTGATAGTGCATTGTTCCCCAAGCAACTCTGGACGCAACCCTGGTTTGTCCAGTCCTCCCCCAAGCCCAGTGTACAATATTTCATTCTTCTAACTATAGAATGAATGAATGTGCCATAATAAAAATGTATCTTAATTTCATTTACACTAAGTAGTGAGCAAACATTTGCGTAAAATCTGCCAACTAGAAGAATTTTGAAAGTATTATATTTAAATTCTAAAAGTATTATGTTTTAAAGATTTTTAAAAATATTTTATTTTTATTTGCCTTTGCACATCAGGTATGCCATTGCATTGGCCTTAAGAGAAAAACAGCGTGTGATATTTACAAGTCCAATTAAAGCTCTGAGTAACCAGAAGTATCGTGAAATGTATGAAGAATTTCAAGATGTTGGTCTGATGACTGGAGATGTTACTATTAATCCTACAGCATCTTGTCTTGTTATGACCACAGAGGTAATTTACGTGATGTCTCTTTTAAAAAAAAATTCAGTGTGTCTGTTAATTTAGAACATCCATTGTTTGATTATTCTTTCTAAATTTGAAAACAGCAATTTGTGCCAGTAGATAACTTGAAAGTGTTATAATCGTATATATAAGTTTAGTCAAAACCTACACATGTTTCTATTACATGTATATGCAATTTTTCATTAAGCATTTTCAAAGACTTAGTGTCTGACAGTAATTTAATGTCTAATTAGTGTCTATTTAGTGTCTGACAGTATTTTGATGATACTGCTTATATAGCCAACTACTTTGGTAATACTACTTATAGCCAAGTAGTATGTTGTATATAGGTACCACAGTTCCTTTATCTAGTCATCTGTTCTTGGACACTTTGGTTGTTTTCATATTTTGGCTATTGTACATAGTTCTGCAATGAACACAGGAGTGAAAATGTCTTTTCTCAATAAAGTTTTTTGAGTCTTTGGACTAGATGCTGACAGGTAGAATTGTTATATCACATAGAAGCTCAATTGCAAGTTTTTTGAGAAATCTTCAATAGGATATGAGGCACTGCAGCAGGATGAAAGAGGCCAAAGGGCGGGAATAGTGGGAAGATGGTGATGGAAAGCCGACACTCAGGTGGAGGTTGTGGCACTGGAATATTCTGTGCATGAAACCCTACCATGTCCTTCCCACCCCGCTGAGGCTGAGAGTTGAACTATGGCTCCGTGCCCCCCCTGCCCCCTCCCAGGGAAGGGGTGTCTGTCTCTTCCACCTTCTCCCCGCAGCATGGTGGCCTCTGCCTCAGAGCTTATTGGACAGCCCGGTATGAGCCGGCCGTGATGGGGCAACTGCAGCCTCATGGGATGGGGGACGGAACCCGCCGTCCTTCCCGCCCCACTGAGGCCGAGAGTTGCCCCCTACGAGCGGCTCTCTGGCATGGCCGTGGCCCATGAGCACACAAACCAGTCTCATAACTATGCAGCTTTTGGCAGAAATCCCTCCAGACTTAATTAGTAAAATATCAGAAATCCAAAATCTCTGACATCATATGGTCTTCATAACCAGTTATTTCACAGTGCCTTTTCAGCAGGTCTGATTGTTGGGGGAAAATTCCAAATAATAATGGTGCATCTTTTGTTGAAATAATGTAATCAAAGTAAAGAGAGTTAAGTGGAAATCAGTTGCCTCACAGGCATGGGGAGAGGTGGGATGGGGGGTATATTAGGGTTCTTGGTGGTGGAAAATAAGCACTGGTGAAAGGAATGTGTGTTTGATCATTGTATGACCGAGACTTAAACCTGAAAGCTTTGTAACTTTTCTCATGGTGATTCAATAAATATGTTTTAAAAAAAAGAAGAAATCCTACCATTATCAGTATTATAAATCACCATGCAGAAAATATTTTTTTTTTTAAATAAAGCACAGCTTTGGCTATTAAAAAAAAAACGATCTCACAGTTTGGATCGTGGGTTAATGTAGTAAATATTAGGAAGCAGCTTTATATTCAAGATGTATACACATATAGGGGTGATGATATTGTTGCCATGGATTATATCAGATCATTACTAATTTGTCTAGCTTTATAAAAAGTAATCTTATTTGGTTAATAAATTATATTTGAGATATGTAACTTTCTGGAATTATTTTAATGTTTCCATGAAAGAATTTCTAAAATTCCTTGTTAGAAGAGATTTTGTTATATGCAAATTTGGAATTCTTTTTTGTTTGTTTGTTTTGAAGATTTTGAGAAGTATGCTCTACAGAGGTTCTGAAGTTATGCGAGAAGTTGCTTGGGTCATATTTGATGAAATTCATTACATGAGAGATTCAGGTATGTATGTTATGTTGTTGAGATGTGTACTTTGTATTTTCCTTAAAGTTGGCATTAGGAATTTTTAGCAGATAATTGGTGCTTTTTTTTGTTTGTTTAAATTTTTATGCAGGTCGAGTTCTAGTAAACTTAATTTGTGTACAACCTGTATTTCTAGTAGAATTTTACTCAACTACCATTACCTTTATACATGATAACTTTTGCTGAGTGAGAGGTTTTATTTTCATTTAAACAAAATACTAAGTTAATCTTTGATTATTGTGAAAGCAATACAATTGCAGTTGTACAAAATTTCCAATTTGGAACAGGGTATGGATTTTAAAATTGCTCCTTTATTGATTTATTTTGGGAAAAACCCTCAAACTGATATTTTTGGGATTCTTTCCCATTTAGTAAATTAACAACTTAAAGAGTTTTGTTCATCAAATTTTTCTAAAGATTGAAGATCATTTGGATGTAGGTTGCTTGATGAATAATAATGGTATTTCTTTTAAATTTGTTGCTATAACTATACAGACTTTAATTGCAGTTTCTCAGTGTGAAACGGAAATACTATTTCCATTATCTTGGAACTTTTACTAGGTTTTAAAAAGGATTCAGTGTGCTCTTTGAAGCCTATTTCAAAGAACATTGTTTTTACAGTGATTTGGTCCAGGGTTACTCAACCTTCTGACCCTTGGCCCCCTCGTGTCTTGAAAATTTATTCAGTTTTCACCTGTTATTGAAGTATCCTGGAGACCCAGAGGAAGCACATATGTCCCCCAGTTGAGAAATGTTAAGGTTTAGTCACTTTCTTTTGGATAAAATCATGGTAAGGATTACTATAGTTTTCAGTATGGTTTTGTTCCTAAACCATATGGTTTTGTTCCTAAACCAATCCTTGGGTGCAGTGATCTGTATTTCTAATTTTAAACTCATGAATAAAATGACACTGAATTCTAAGGCATATTTATTTTTTTCAGAACGTGGTGTAGTATGGGAGGAAACTATTATTTTGCTTCCTGATAATGTCCACTATGTCTTTCTTTCGGCTACTATTCCGAATGCTCGTCAGTTTGCTGAATGGATTTGCCATTTACATAAACAGGTATTTTTTTTCTTTTTCGATTCACTGTAGCACTGTCTCCTGTTGTTCATCGATTTGCTCGAGCGGGCTCAGTAGCGTCTCCATTTTGAGACTTCTTGTTACTGTGTTTGGCATATTGAATACGTCACAGGGAGCTTGCCAGATTTTGCCGTGCGGGCGAAATTCTCTCGGTAGCTTGCCAGGCTCTCCGAGAGGAGCAGAGGAATCGAACCCGGCTCAGCCGGACTGGCTGCGCACAAGGCAAACGCCCTACCGCTGTGCTATCGCTCCATGGTGGCCTAGAGGTTAGGATTCAGTGCTCTCTGGATCTTCTGGAGCCCACTCCAAACTGCTACTTCAGTGAGGCTTTGAAAAAACCTCTGTTGGGCAAAACAACTGCATTTAACCTCGGCCAGTCTTTTGTATGTACAGCTCTATAAGATTAGAAATATCTTTATGGTATCACCAATCTTGGGTATGGGCCCAAGTATTATTAAAGCTCAGATCACATATTTGACTCTGATTAGGGAGTTGGTAAAATAGCACAGCGGGTAGGGCGTTCACCTTACACGCGGCCAACATGGCCGACCCGAGTTCGATTCCTCCGCCCCTCTCGGAGAGCCCGGCAAGCTACCGAGAGTATTCGATATGCCAGACACAGTAACAACAAAGTCTCCAATGGGCCCGCTTACTTACTGGGCCCGCTTGAGCAAGGAGTTGGTAAAATTGAACAGATAGTGTGAGTTGATAGATCCTCTTCCCCCCCCCCCCCCACACATTTTCTCTTGCCTGGTTTTTAAGGTTTATTTATTTTGGTTTTTGAAGTAGTAAATAAAAAATTTATTTCCCCAGGTTCTCAAAGACACATCAAAATACAAAATTATTTTGAAGCAATAAAATTTTATAAATTTATTTTTTTTCACAGCCTTGTCATGTAATCTACACAGATTACAGGCCTACTCCATTGCAACACTACATTTTTCCAGCAGGGGGAGACGGCTTGCATCTTGTGGTTGATGAAAATGTAAGTGCAATTTTTATTCTTTCATCTATGTCAAATTTTGTTGGTTCTACTTGCTTTTTCTTTTAAAAAAATAAATTCTATAAGTACTTTTATTATAGTATAAGTTTCCAGAGTAATGTGTTTATTAAAATTATTTTTAAGATTTTAGATTTTTATTTTATAATTTTTTTGTTTTGGGCTTTACCCGCCAGTGCTGAAAGCAGTTCATACTAAAATTGTTTTAGGAATAGTGTTCAAACACCAATCCTGCCACCAGTGTCCCCGAGGTACCTGTCATCCCCCAGCAAGCCCCCTATCAAGGGGCATTTAACAAATCTATTTCCTATTGCTTGCTCCAACAAAACTTAAAGCGCAATTTTAGTATGAACTGCTTTATGATTCACACTGACTTAATTTCATTTCTTTTTTTTTTTTGGCCCCCCTGGCTGGCATATCACAAATTTATTTCATATTACATAAAAGGATGGCAAGTAGAATTATTAGAGAATAGATCAATAAAATTTTGTGATGATTAATTACTCTGTTTTTAACATTTCTTAATCTTAAGAGGTTATTAGTGAGTATATTCAGTACCAAAGGATGGGTAAATAAAGAAACATTAATCCTAAAAATAACTCATTTACCAAATATAAAATAACTAATGACCAGAAAACATTGCTTTGTTGTTTAATTTGCAATATATAGTTTGCTTTAAAACTTTTGACTTTTATTGGTCTCGGTTTTCTTGGTCTTATTTATATATATATGTTAGTAATAGCCTTTTTAATATTCAGCTGAACAGAATTTTTGTTTTTCTTATGCCTGAATTAGATTTCCATTTCTTTCCAAATATTTTGTTTATTTTTTTGGCTTTGGAACCACACCTGATAGTGCTCAGGGAATGTTTTTAACTCTGTGCTAAGGAATGACCTCTAATGATATTCTACGGGGGTTCCTGTATGGTACTAGGGATGTCAATGGTGGCCGATAGGCTGCAACTCCTATATTATTTCTTTGGCCCTTTTACCAGTATTTTCTTTTTTGTAAACCGTTTTATTAAAAGAAATTTACTGTGAGAAGTGTGAGGGCAGAGAAGGAAAAGTTGTGTTCAAGAAAGAACATAGGCTTCTCTAGATGGAAAACTGTTTTCAATATTTTTTAGTTTTCTGGATGTGTTTCAGGTCCTTAAGTTTTCAGGTTCTTGGTTTTGCTTTACCCAATTTTTTTACCGTTTATTACCTCTTGCAACATATTTTAAAGTTATTTTATTGACCTTTGTTAATATTTTTTTGTCATTTGAGCAAGCTTTGTTTTGAGATATGTATTATGTATTTTGAGATGTATAATGATTAAATACTAGTGAAGTTACATAGAGAAATTTCTTTGATTCCAGGGCGACTTCAGGGAGGATAATTTCAATACTGCAATGCAAGTACTTCGAGATGCAGGTGATTTGGCAAAAGGAGATCAGAAGGGGCGGAAAGGAGGAACAAAAGGTAATTTTGAACTTTCTTTTGAGAGAATTTTATATCTTTTGACTGTTCAAATTGCACTTTTAATTTTTTATTTAACATTTTATCAGGTTGCTGTGTGAGATTTATAGTATGTGATCAAATTACGTGAACAAAGGTTGTTTTCTATTTTTCTGTATGAAATTTGTTCTGGTGCACATTATTTTTATTTTTTAATATTATAAAGTAGATCACAATATTTGATTACATAGTATATAATTTGATTAAATATTTATTTAGTATTCACACACCAATCTCACTACTATTACACCTTCTCACCACCATATTTCGGATGTTTCCATCCCAAACTCCAGACTCTGCCCCAAAGCAAAACCAAAATAATATAGTTTGTAAAAGTTTCCTTCGAGGAAAGAGTGTGAAGATTGTTGTATTTCACTGAGGGAGATCACATGTTGTTAAAGGTTGAGCCTTGTGTGCTTTTATATATGTGTGTGTGTATCTGTAAAAAAAAATATACATTTCCCTCTAAGATTGGTTGCTCCTACTCTGAACCCCATCAAATGGGGTACAATACTCTTGGAGCATGGGTGGGGTGTGTGGTATGAAGTGTCACGCGGTGGCCGTGTGGTCCAGGAATAGGTTCATTCGCGGGGGGAGCTCTGCCCGAGCGAGTGGTGAGCTGCTGTGACCAAGGCGGCGGTTGAGTTGTGGAGGTTTTGGCTGCGGGGCTGGGTCCCTTGGGGTGGAGAAGGGGTCTCACACCCGCCACCCTCTAAGGCACCGCGAATGGAACAGCCTGGTGTGGGATCTGGGCACATTCTTTTCTGTTTGTTTTTGGGCCACACTGGCAGGTGTTGGACAAAAGTAAGCTTTAGGGCTTGAGGAACTTCAGATGGCACCCAGGCCTGGCATCTGTCAGGCAGGCGCCTTGCCTGCTGTACTCTCTCTTCAGCTCCTCTGGTTGACTTCTTTGACTTAAATGGTCTCCAGGTTTATCCCTTTTGTATGCGTATTAGTACTTTATTCCTTTTTATGGTGAAGTAGTATTCTATTGCACAAATAGTACTACATTCATTTGTTTGATGGAAACTTGAGTTGTTTCCATTTTTTGATTGTAGCTTGTTTGCACAGCGGGTAGGGCGTTTGCCTTGCACCCGGCCAACCCAGGTTCGATTCCTCCACCCCTCTTGGAGAGCCCGGCAAGCTACCGAGAGTATCTAGCCCGCACGGCAGAGCCTGGCAAGCTACCCGAGATGTATTCAATATGCCAAATGCAGTAACAACAAGTCTCAAAGTGGAGACATTACTGGCCCGCTCTAGCAGATCGATGAACAACAGGAGGACAGTGTTTGTTTGAATTCCACACCATTACCAAATTTGTGACTGAAAATGCCTTTTTATTTTATTATTGGTGCCTATTAAAGCACAAAAGTTTTAGTTTTGATGAAATTCAATTTATCAGATTACTTTTTCGCTTCTCTTTTGGGGATTATGTATTAGAATACCTACGAAAGTAATTATTTTCATGTATATTTAAGGAATTTTGTATTTTTTAATTTTGCATTCAGCTATGTAATTCTTTCTGTTTGTTTTGGGGTCTACACTTGGCCATGTTCAGAAATCACTCCTGGTGGGATCTGGACCATTCCAAGGGATTGAACTGGGTGGGCCATGTACAAAGCAAACACCCTACCTGCTATACTGTGTGTCTCTGGCCTAGTTCTGGAATTCATTTTATGTTAATTTTTGGATATGACTTATATTCTCTTGACAGGACCATCAAACGTATTCAAGATTGTGAAGATGATTATGGAAAGGAATTTTCAACCGGTGATTATTTTCAGTTTTAGTAAGAAAGATTGTGAAGCCTATGCACTTCAAATGACCAAATTAGATTTCAATACAGGTACTGTATTATTTCAGTATAGTTTTTTGCTAGGTGAAATGAGTGTAAATATATTCCTGCTAAAACATTGTATGTTAAATTGAATATGAATTCACCCTGCTTTCCTCAGTGGTGGATAATAAAAATGCCTGTTCCCTGTAATTGTTAGACTTAAAAATATGTAAAACAGTGGTTATTTTCTTCTCATTTTATCTGCTAGATAGTCTTTAAAGGTAGCACGTTTTATTAAGTAATTGCACAGTAACTTTCCTATGTTTTGCCATCTTTATTAAGTACTAATTTTGGATGCGTTTTCTTTGCAATGTGTAAAATTTGATATTTCTGACTCATTAGGTTTTTGTTTTCTTGCATTTGCTTAGATGAGGAAAAGAAGATGGTTGAAGAAGTATTCAGTAATGCAATTGACTGCTTGTCTGACGAAGATAAAAAGCTCCCTCAGGTTTGTATTTAATATCTCCACTCCAAGTGAAATATTAGTATTGTTACATAGCATTTCTTGTTTTGTTACTATGTTGCTCTGTTTGCATAATATAATAAATATTTACATTGTACTATGAAATGGTGTCTAATTAAAATTCTTGGGAAAGATAGCAGGAGGAAAGATTTGCTTCCGGAAGTTTTCTCGAAAGTTACTGTGTGTGGAAATTACTGCTTCTGTTCCTAAAACTAAAAGTTTTTTGGTAGTTTTAGGTCACAAGATTTCTTGATTTATTAAAAGTACCAAACCAGCAGAGCAAATCTAATGAAAATGTATTTAGTGAGGAACTTAGCATCTATTTTGCTTTGGTGCAGTGACTTTATTTTGGTAGGAGCCCTCCCAAGCAGTGCTTAGACATAATTTGGCCAACTGGGCTGATGGCTTAAGGCTAGGACATGAAGATGCTTGGAGCCACATGGCTAGCTCAGTGGGGGCCCCCCAGGGCCACACCCCATTTTACTGGAGGCCTTCAGGACTACTCCCAATAATGTTCTAGAGGCATGTTATATTGGGATCAAATGTGATAGGTAGCTCCTTAATCTCTATGGTATTTCCCAGCATCAAATCCAATAAGTTTTCCCTTTGATTATTGAAATAGATTAGGGGTTCTAAAAGATATGATGTCTGTGTCCCACTCTGAGTAGGCCTGATTTAATTGACCTGGTGTGTGTCCTGATCATTATAATCTTTAAAATCTCCTCAAGTGATTCTACTGTGTGTCTAAACATGAGAACTACCTCTTTAGAGTGTTGTTTAGTAAGGTACACCTTACTCCTATACTCTCTCTCTGTTCCTTAAGTGCACTTTAAATATGCTTTGTGTTTTATATTTCTTTATTGTTTAAATTGACCAGTAGTTTTTGTTTTGTTGGTTTTTTTTGGGTGGGGCCACACCTGGCAGTACTCGGGGGTTAATCCTAGCTCTACACTCAGGAATCACTCATGGCTCAGGGGACCATATAGGATGCCTGGGATCGAACCCAGGTCGGTTGTGTGCAAGGCAAGCCCTTGCCTTACTTGCTGTACTATCTCTCTGGCCCCTAAGTTCACCAGTATTTTTAAAATTTGTTTTGTGCATGATTTTTACCCTTGTGACTGACATCTTTTGATGATGTAACGGTTAAAATTTGTTTTGTGCAGATAGTCTTTACCCTTGTAACATTTCTTTTGAAGATGAAATAATGGAAAATTTGAATGAGACAGCAATGTACATTTAAACATTTATTTAAAACGTGCCTTTTGTATAGAAAATAAGAGAATTGTGTTGTATAATTTAATCCGTGAGGATATGGGTTTGATTTGTTTATTTCTATCTTCAAAGATTATGCAGCATGTCTCTAAAAACCATTCTTAATTTTTCTTGCTTTAACATGTTAAAATTCTCTTATTACTGAAATTAAATTCTAATCATAGGTTGAACATGTACTTCCTCTTCTCAAGCGGGGAATTGGTATTCACCATGGTGGTTTACTTCCTATTTTGAAAGAAACTATAGAAATTCTCTTTTCTGAAGGATTGATAAAGGTATGCTTTTATTTTTATTTATTATGCTCTAGAATTTTATGTGAGCAGATAAATCATTGAGAATACTGTTTAAAGGTAGCTCTGTGTGTGTGTGTGTGTGTGTGTGTGTGTGTGTGTGTGTGTATACACAAATTTAGATAACTACTATTTCGGTGACTATAATTGCACATTCCTTTTTACTTAAGCCATACAACCTTTTTCATATGTATAAACATGTCACTGTCACTGTCTTTCTGTTGTTCATCAATTTGTTCAAGTGGGCCCAGTAACGTCACCATTGTGAGACTTGTTACTGTGTTTGGCATATCAAATCCATCACGGGTAGCTTGCCAGGCCTATGTATGTTGTATTGTGTGTGTGTATTTGACCTTTGGAGCATATCCTGTGTGTGTGTTTGACTTTTGGAGCATATCCTGTGGTGCTCAGGGCTTATTCCTGGTCTGTGCTCAGGGATCATGCCTGGTGAAGCTGAGGACCCTGAAGGGGTCCCCAGGAGTAGTCGGGTTGGTGTATGCAAGGCAGTCACCCTACCTTCTGTACTATATTTTTAATCCATGTTTTGTTTTAAATTAGGTTCTCTATGGAATAACTTAGGTATTTGATTTTTACATGTGTATGTATATATGTATATTTTTATACTACCGCTTATATTTATATTACTATTTATATCATAGTCCTCATAAGACCTTACTGCTCTGGTAGTCCTCCCTATCAGAGTGGATCAACTGGGCATTAGCTGCATCTCTCTATCCCCTGTTTGAATTTTATAACTAAAATTACCACTTATATTTTTTAACTAGAACTTAAATGGAGATTCAAGCTTGGGAATATAGCTCAGCAGAATACTTCATTCCCCAGCAACACACATAAGCATACACACAAGCACACGCACATACAAATAACAAAATTTTTTAATTTTCAAATTGAAAAAATTTAAGTGGATCTTTACAAACTAAAATGTAGAATTTATTTAGAATTTATCTAGAATTCATGTAACTTCTAAGCACAGCTGGGTACTAAGCCCCTGAGTACTTCTGGGTGTTAAAATAGGACATTAGTATCACTGTATCACTGTCATCCCATTGTTCATCGATTTACTTGAGCGGGCGCCAGTAACATCTCCATTCGTCCCAGCCCTGAGATTTTAGCAGCCTTTCTTTACTCATCTTTCCCAACGCTGCCTTATTGGAGGTTCTTTCAGGGTTAGGGGAATGAGGCCCGTTATGTTTCTGTTTTTGGCATATGGAATACAGCATGGGTAGCTTGCCAGGCTCTGCTGTGGGGGTGGGATACTCGGAGCCTCATGCATGAGTGAATTCCCATGGAACCCAGGTAGTGCGGAACTTTGTGACCTTGGACTCTGGGCTCAGTGGGACCCGGGAGCAGAGATCCTCTGCCTGCTTCCCCCAGTCTCCTAGTGACCCAGGGATCACACCCATAAGGCACATCCCGCTGGCACCAGATAATCTCATCCTCCGCCCTCCAGAACTCAAGGCTGTTTCTTTGGGAGGCAGTATTAAATGAGGCCCCCATAACCATGCCACCGGACTCTGCGCCAGGCTGTTTTCATTCCGGGTGCTCCAGAGGGGGGCGGGTGAGAGCCCTCCTTGCCCCCAAGGGACCCGGCCCTGGCAGTTGACCTCCACTACCCAACCGCTGCCACGCTCCAGGCCGCTTTCCACACGCTCAGGCTGAGCCTCACACATGAGTAAACATATTCCTGGACCGACACATCATAAGACACTCCGTACCCATTTTCCATAATTACCACACCATATTTGATGGGGTTCAGACAGTAGGCAACAAATCATAGAGGGAAATATATGTATGTATGTATGTATGTATGTATGTCTCTCAGAGGACATTAGTATAAGCAATAATTAAAAAATAATTTAAGGCCTATCTGTCTTTATTTTCTAGAAATATCTCCTAAAGTTCATACAAATTAAAAGTAGTGTTTTGGGATTGAGAGTATAGTTTGAGCCACACCCACTCAGTTCAAAACTTATTTCTGGCTGTGCTCTATGCACCATATATAGTGTTGGGAATTTGAACTGGTTTCAGCTGTGTACAAGGCAAGTGCCTTAACCCTGTAAATTTGTCTGGCCCATAATCATGATTTAAAAAAATATAGATGAATAGTTCTGTTGATTAAATGTATTTTAGGTATTATTGATGACAAATTTAGATTATTAGTATTTCAGTGGCTTTAATTGCACACTCTTTTTTACTTAACCATACAACTTTTTTTAATGTGATAAAGTTTTGGTTAAAGTCTTAGAAATGAACATTAAGGACCACTAATTCTGGTGAATCACTTTCATTACTTTAAGAACCACTGAGTCTAAGAGCCATTTAGACTGATCTACCCTCAGACACCCTAAAGGTGAATTGTCTTTAGAAATCAGTGAAAAAGCCAGGATTCTGACTGTGTTTAGAAAAGTTTTCTGCCACGCCTAATGTTATATCCATTAGGCTAGCAGTGTTTTCTCCAAGTTGCTGCCGCTGAATTTAAGAAAGGCTTTTCCCTGAATTAAATTCCTTGAGTGCAAGGGGCTTTCAAGATTATTTAATAGTCATATAAAAATATGCTTAGAAATGTAAATTTCTCTTGTATTTTTAGTCTCATTAAAAACTATCACTGTCATTGTCCTCCCGTTGTTCATTGATTTGCTTGAGCAGGCCCAGTAACGTCTCCATTGTGACACTTGTTACGGTGTTTGGCATATCGAATACATCATGGGGAGCTTACCAGGCTTTGCCATGTGGGCGAGATACTCTTGATAGCTTACTGGGCTCTCCAAGAGGGGTGGAGAAATCGAACCTGGGTCGGCCAGGTCGGCCAGGTGCAAGGCAAGCCGGCCACCTGCTGTGCTATCGCTCCAACCCATTAAAAACTAATTTTTAAAAATAATATATATTTTAATTGAATCACCATGAATTACAGAGTCACAAAGTTACTCATGATTAAGTTTCATGTATACAATGCTCCGACACTAATCACAACCACTGTTAGCTTCCTTTCACCAATATCCTCCATTTCCTTCTTACCCTCAGCCTGCCACTATGGTAGGCACATCTTCCCTCTACCATTGTACTAGTATTCCCTTCCCTAACTTATACCCCTACCCATAACCCAGTGGCACGCTTCCTACTGAAGACTACTTCTCATGCTCTTGTTTCTATTGTCTCTGGGCACTTTTTACTTCCCTGCTGTGTTTCTTTATATCCCACATATGAGAGATACCATTTTGTGTCTCTCCCTCTGAAGAACTTCATTTTGTGTGATACTCTGCAGATTTATCCACATAGCAGCAAGTTACATGACTTCATAGCCAAGTAAAGGTAAGGTAAAGGCCCTCCCGTTGATCGTCGATTTGCTCGAGCGGGCCCAGTAACGTCTCCATTGGAGACTTTGTTGTTACTGTGTCTGGCATATCGAATACTCTCGGTAGCTTGCCGGGCTCTCCGAGAGGGGCGGAGGAATCGAACTCGGGTCGGCCATGTTGGCCGCTTGTAAGGCGAGCGCCCTACCCGCTGTGCTATCGCTCCAGCCTCATAGCCAAGTAGTATTGTGTATATGTACCAGGGTTTGTTTATTCAATCGTCTGTTCTTGGGCACTTGGATTGTTTCCAAATTCTTGCTGTTAGCACTGCAGTGAACATCAGGGTACAGATATCTTTTCTGCATTGTGCTTTTGGACCTGTGAGTTATATTCCAAGAAACAGCATTGCTGGATACTGTGGAAGCCAAATTTCTTTTTTTTTGTTTGTTTTTGAGGAATTTCCATATTGTCTTACCAAAAAGGCTGAACCAGTCAACATTCCCACCAGTACTGAATGAAAAGCAATCCTTTTTCCCTACATCTTTGCCAGCAATGTTTTTTGTTCTTTTTGATGTGTGCCAGTCTCTCTGATGTGAGGTGATATATCATTGCTTTGATTTGTATTTCCCTGATGAAAGTAATTCATGTATTTGCATGTGGAAAATTACAAAATCTGTTTCTAGTTTTTGGGTCACACGTTGGTGTTCTGGGATTACTCCTGCTTGATACTTGGGAGTCATTCCTCATGTTTCTCAGGGAATCTTGTGGTGCTGGAAATTGAACACACACCTCCTATATGCAAAGCACTTCAGCTCTCAAGTTACTGTTCTGGCCCTATAAAACTTATTTTAGGTGAAATATGCTTAATTGTGTAATTATTCATTTATTTAGGCCTTGTTTGCTACAGAGACTTTTGCTATGGGCATTAATATGCCAGCAAGAACTGTCTTATTTACAAATGCCCGAAAATTTGATGGAAAAGACTTCCGATGGGTAAGTCAGATTATTCATATATTGTGATCATTTTTATCTCTGTTTTGTGTAAGGTGATTTTTGACCCTTGTAATTCTAAACGTTTTTTACTTCTGAATGCTTAAAAGAACTTACCACTCACAAGATTCATTGAAGGCTCAGATCTGGATCCTTTCTGTTTCTAGGATATAAATGTAATGGTGTAGGTATAACATTTATATAACAATTGTTATTTATATAACAAGTGTAGCATAAATGTTATGTTTACATTATTACAATTTATATCGTTCTTTAATCAAAAACAAACTTTCTTTGCATATGAAAAAGTTTTATGTGCTGATGGTTTGAAATGTGTTAACACATTTTAAATAAATGCAGAACTTTTATTTGTGTGTGTGTGAAGTGGAGCTTGGGACAGAGACTGCCACATCAGGTGGTACGCAGGGCTTACTCCTGACTCTACTCAGGGATCACTCCTGGCTGTGCTGGGGAACATAGAAGGTGCTGGGGATTGAACCCAGGTTGTCCACTTGCTTTGGGTGGTTGTAGCTCACTGATTCTAAAAATCAGATTTGCACATAATGCCTTTCTTAAATTAGAAATTAAGATGGGAGGTCAGAAAGCAGCACTGCAGCCACCCTGAGGTGGTAGCACTTGCATGCCCTGAGCCCACACTATCGTGTGTTCTGGGAGTAGCCAGCCAAACACCTAGTCAACCTGGAGTAGAAGCTGGCTCCACCCAGAGATCCAAAGATTAGAGTAGTGGTCCCTCTAAGCTAAAACTGCTTGCCCCACCCACCTCAGTAGAACAACTCCAGAGATCTCCCTAGCAGGGGGGAGAACTCTCAGAGTGAAGGGGGAAGGACACATGCCCACACTACAGAAGGAACCATGGTAAAGCAGGTAGAACCCCATCACGAATAGTGAGCAAAGATTGTAATCCTGAGGACTCAGTAATATCCATTTGTATAATCTCTCTGAAAAGGAATTCATAATGGAAATGCTTAGGATGTTCTACAAGCTCAAAGAAGCAGTGGAATGGTTAGCCAACAAAAGAAGAGGATATGCTCTGGAAAGAAAGATGGCGGCCGCACGGGAGCCTTGTGGAAAGCGGGTTTGAGCCGGGCTCGGGGGAGCGGCGGGGACCTCATGGGAAGGGGGGCTTTGTGGGCCGTCCCCCACGCCCCACCGAGGTCGCCAGCTGCCCCCCACGAGCGGCTCTCCGGCACGGCCACGGCCCCGGAGGCACAAGGACTTAGCACAGAGAACCAGCCGCTTGGAGCAGAAAAGCAAATGGACTTGTGTTGATCCGCACCACCAAGCCGGCCCGGAGGGGGAAGGGCGTTGACCGGCCCGCCCGCTCCTCTCTGGAAAGAAAGATGGCGGCCGCATGGGAGCCTTGTGGAAAGCAGGTTTGAGCCGGGCTCGGGGGAGCGGCGGGGACCTCATGGGAAGGGGGGCTTTGTGGGCCGTCCCCCACGCCCCACCGAGGTCGCCAGCTGCCCCCCACGAGCAGCTCTCCGGCACGGCCACGACTCCAGGGCACAGAAACCAATCTCTTAACTAGCTAACTTTTAATAGAAATTCTTCCAGGGTCAATAAGTAAAATAGCAGAAATTCAAAACCGCGCGGCCGCTATCGCGGCCACGCGACATCATTTTATTCTTAAACCAAGTTGTAGAAAGCAAATCATTTCACAACGCTGTTTCAGCAGGTCTGATTGGGGGGGGGGGGGGTGGGTCGTAAACTCTAAACAATAATTGTGCATCTTCTATCGAAATAATCTATCTAGTCAAAGTAGATAGAGTATTAACTAGAACTCATCTGCCTCACAAGAATTGGGAGGGGTGGGAGGTGGGGGTCTATTGGGGTTCGGGGTTAAAAATGAGTATTGGTAAAGGGAAATGTGTTCGGCATCTACATGACTGAGACCTAAACCCGAAAGCTCTGTAACTTTTCCCACAGTGATTCAATAAATAAATAAATTATATAAAAAAAAAAAGAAGAGGATATGAGAGCAAAAATGAGAAAACTACAAACAGAAATAACATAACTCAAAAATTGGGTAGGCAAAATAAATTCATTGGAAGACATTACCTGCAAAGTAACAGCTGCTGAGGACAGAATCAATGAACTCCAAGATGAGTTGCAGAAAACCTCCAGACTACATCAGAAGATGGAAAAAGATACAAAGATAGCCAACAGAATGGGAGAAATTATTTGCCCAGCACTCATCTGATAAGATATATAAGGCATTGGTAGAATTTTACAAGAGAAAAACATCCAGCCCCATTAAAAACTAGGAAGAAGAGATGGACAGAAACTTCCTTAAAGACCAAATACAAATGGCCAAAAGGCACATAAAAAATGCTCTGCACAACTAATCGGGGAGATGCAAATATAAATAATAAGAAAATGGAGAAGAAATATTTGCACATCTGGTTCCTTGCGAGACTGTCCACAATAGCCAAAATCTGAAAACGACCCAAGTGTCCAAGAATATAGATGATTGGATTAAAACACTCTGGTACATACACACAATGGAATATTACTAATCCATAAGGAAAGATAAAATCAAGCCCTAGAACAATAGTACGGAGTGAGGGTAGGATGTTACCTTGTACCAGCCAACCTTGGTTTGATCCCCAGCATCCCATATGGTCCCCTGAACTCTCCAGTAGTTCCTGAGCATAGAGCCAGGAGTAACTGAGCATTACCGAGTGTGAACCCCGCCACTATATATGTATACATAAATATATACATATATACATATATATGGCATATCTAATATGTCACGGGTACCTTGCCAGGTTTTGCCATGCGGGCGAGGTAACTCGGTAGCTTGCCGGGCTCTCCGAGGGGCAGAGGAATCGAAACTGGGTCGGCCGGGTTGGCCACATTCAAGGCAAATACCCTACCATTGTGCTATCGCTCCAGCCTATATATATATATATATGTATATGTATATATGTATATATATACACACACACACGTGTGTGTGTGTATAAAAGATAAAATTGTGCAATTTGCTGTTGCATGGAAGGAACTGGAGAGTATTATGCGAGTGGAGTTAGCTAGAGGGGGAGAAAGCAACACAGACTGATCGTCATATTTGGTATATAAAACACCGGGAGGTTGATGAGGGGAAAGAACAATTCTACCAATTGAAAGACATAGTTGAAGAGAACTATGTTTAAGTGTTACTTTGCAAATGATAAAAGTTATAATGATGAGGTCAGAAACGGCAGTTAGTAAAAGCAACTGACGTAGCTATCTTTGCTGTTTTACCAAAACATTTAGTTCAAAGTTTTATTATGCTAGTGAATTAGCTAGTATGTTCCTTAACTATTATTTTATTGTTTTGAAGCTTTAGTTTGTTTTTTTCCTGTTTGTTTTTGGGCCACATCCAGTGATGCTCAGGGATTTCTCCTGGCTCTGCGCTCAAGAATTTCTCCTGGCAGTGTTGGGGGTAATATATGGGGTCATGGGGATTGAACCTGGAAGGCCCCTATGCAAGGCAATAAACCTACCTGCTGTACTTCCTTTCTAATCCCACTGTTTTGTATTAATGTTGTTGATTAAATTTTCCTTTAACTTGATAATTTTTTGTTTGTTTTGGTTTTGGGCCTCACCTGGCCAGGTAACCTCAGCGGTTTTTCATTTCATTTCATTTCATCATCCTGTTATTCGTCGATTGCCTCGAGCAGGCCCCAGTAACGTCTCTTTCATCCTAGCCCTGAGATTATATTCAAGGCTATTTAGGAATAACCTCAGCGGTTATTCCTGGTTTATCTCTTATTGCTGGCTCTGTCTTGGTAATTACTCCTGGTGGTACTCAGGGGATCATGTGGGATGTAGGGGATGGAACCCAGGTTAGCTGCATGCATGACAAATGCACTACCTGCTGTTGAATCTTTCTGGCCCCTAAATAAGAATTTTTTTATTATTAGAATGTATAACGTGGTGACTTTTATGTTAATGTTTTTGGAAATAGGTGTATTACCGAGTTTTCTCAAAACAAGTTTTGAATCTGTTTAGATTTCCTCTGGTGAATACATTCAGATGTCTGGCCGTGCTGGAAGGAGGGGAATGGATGATAGAGGAATTGTAATTCTTATGGTGGACGAAAAGATGAGCCCAACGATTGGAAAACAACTGCTTAAGGTAATGGAGTCAAGGTCCTGTTTCTTCAGGAGGAATTTTGAGAAACATGTTTCAGAAGTTACTTCAGAAGTAGTTGAGTCAGTTTAGGTACTTTTCTAAGTAGATCTAAGTAGGTGGGTTAATATACTAACCTGTACTTTCTGTTGTGGCATAATGGAAGCAATATGAAGACTCTCAAAGAAGACAGAAGCATTTGCTTTACAATTCTCAAGTTTAAGATTCCTCTAATACCTGCCACCTTCTTTGTGCAAATTGCTTTTACTAATAGAGCAAGAATAGGGCATTCAGGCAGAATTTGAGGAAGCAAACTGCCTCAAATTTACCTTTTGCAAGGCTAGATAAATATATTCTGTAATCCACCATTGCGTTTCTTGGGGGTTATAAACATTCCAGTAATAAATTTTAAAAAATTGAGTTTTATTGCATATTTGCCTATTCATTTTACTTTCTTAGTATTTTTGCTTAAGATTTTTCTTTTGTTTTCAACCACTTCTCAAGGAATTTTGACTGGGTTCCTTTTTTTTTTAACTTCCCATTTGATTTGAAATTATTAAATCCTCAGAATAAGATATTAAAATAGAAAAACTTAACATTAAGTAAAAGTATAAAATTAACTTATCATTTTATGTACTGAAATTAAGATAAATCTTGGCAACAAAAAACAGTATTGAAGAATACCATACAGTCCTTCAATTTTTTCTGGTTTTGCTGTTTTGTTTTAATGAGTTATACTTGGAAAGTGAGTTAAGGTTCATGTAACTAGTGTGACATTTAGAATCATTGAATTTAGGATACTCGAATAAGAAGATGCTGTTACACCAGTTGAACAGTTTTATGTTGAGACTATCCTGGGCTCAAATGAGTGCTGTATCATAATGCCATGTTGAGTTTCAGGTGACTGACAATTTAGAAAACTGTCTTCTGTGGTAGTTGGGAATATAAACAGTGGAATTTCATGTTAGAAATAAGTGTCATATTAAAGATAACTGAAAAGGAAAGTATTTTTCTTCAGTATCTAGTCTAAATCTTAGTAACTTACAGGTTTATTTCACTTAACTTTTTAGTGCAAATTTTTTTTTTCTTTTTGGGTCACACCCCGTGATGCTCAGGGGTCACTCCTGGCTCATGCACTCAGGAATCACCCCTGGCGGTGCTCGGGGGACCTTATGGGATGCTGGGAATCGAACCTGTGTCGGCCATGTTGACTGCATGCAAGGCAAACGCCCTACCCGCTGTGCTATCGCTCTAGCCCCAGTGCAAATTTATTAAAGTTACTTTCATCATTATTTAGGGATTCAAGATGATGTAGGAATGGCCATCTTGAACGTTATCAGTTGCTGTGAGAAAAAAGAAAAATGACTTTTCAGGGCTAGAGCATAGTACAGTGAGTAGGGCTTGTCTTGTGTGTGGCTAATCTGGTTTTCATCCCTGCACCTCTCATGGTTCCCCAGCCACCATCAGGAGTGATCCCTGAGTGCAGAGCAAGGAGTAAGTTCTGGGCACCACTGAGTGTGACTCAGAAAGAGCGAAAGATGATTTTTCAAACCAGTTATTAAATCTTTGATCCCAGAATAACATCACATCCTGCGCTATAGCTTATTTGCCCTTCACACAAAGGGTGGAGTAAGGAGAAACTAGGTGTGATCCTGTCAGGTACTTACCTAGAAGGCAGAGAGCTAAACATAGTTGGCAAATAGTACATCATTCCCTGTGTATTATTTACTAAGTTTTTTTCCCTTTGCTTTAACAAATATAATCTACCTTAGCACTTTTTTATTGATTATTTAAAGTAGGGCACCAACTATATTTTTTTAACATAATATTAAAAGAAATACATAGCATGTACTTTAACAAATTATCAAGCAGTTTAGCAGATCAGCAATATTTTTGTAAATTTATTTGAAAAAAATCTACAACATTGATTTTCGTTTTTCTGTTAGGGCTCAGCTGATCCTCTTAATAGTGCTTTTCATCTGACCTACAACATGGTGTTGAACCTACTACGTGTAGAGGAAATTAATCCTGAGTACATGTTGGAAAAGTCCTTTTATCAATTCCAGCATTATAGAGCAATTCCAGGAGTGGTCGAGAGTAAGTATAACATTATAAACCAAACCTTACTGGTTGCTTTGCCTGTTGTGTTTTTTTCTTTAAATTAAAATACATATATATTTTTTTTTTTTTCTAAATTTGGTCTTTGAATAATTAGTAAGAACTTTAGTTTGGTCGTTATAACCAACTAAAACATTTTGTGAAAAAGCCAGTCGGGCCTCTGGTAGAACTTTCTGCAGTGGTAGACATGTTCTGTGTGCAATTAGGTACAGAGTCACTAGCCATTGGTGACTCCTGAGCATTTGAAATGTTGCTAATATGGTTAAGGATCTAGTTTCCCTTTATTTAACAAATTTAAATAGCCATCTATGACTTGTTTTTTCTCAATATTAATACTGGATATAGCGATAGCACAGCAGTAGGGAGTTTGCCTTGCGCGCAGCCGGCCTGGCTGAGCCGGGTTCAATTCCTCTGCCCCTCTCGTAGAGCCCGGCAAGCTACCGAGAATATCTTGCCCGCACGGCAAAGCCTGGCAAGCTACCCATGACGTATTTAATATGCCAAACACAGTAACAAGTCTCACGATGAGCCCACTTGAGCAAATTGATGAATAGCGGGAGGACCGTGACCGTGATATCCAACATAAATACTTTCAATAATCACATAAAGTTAGTGCTGTTTTGAACTATGTAGATCTAGAATTCCCAGAGTTGTATCACCATCCATAGAAGAAAACTATGATACTATTTGCTATGACTTTGGACCCACTTGGAGGATTTAAGGTTTACTTTGAAACTTTAGAAAGAAATAAGAGAAAATGACGTTTTGGGAAGAAGAGTGACACCCAGTGGTGCTCAGCACGTTCCTGGCTCTGCTTTAAGGATCATTCCTGGTGGGGCTCAAGGAACCCCATGGGAGGCCAGATACTAAACCTGGGTCAAGCATGTGCAAGGCTAGCACCCTAACTGCTGGACTATTGCTCCAGCCCCAAGAGAAAATGAATCTTAATGGAGAAGAAACAGATGGACGATGTACGGTTCAGTCCCTGGCTCCCCTTATGGTCCCTCAAGCACCACCAGAATGATTCCAAGTGCAGAGCCAGGAGTATGCCCTGTGAACTGTCAGCCTTGGCTCCCCCCAAAAAAATAGAAGACAAGGGTTTCTCAGAAATTTTTCTTAAACTTCTGTTCTGTGGAAAGTGACTATTTCCTATAGAAGTAACTGGAAAAAATATACATCTTCAGAATAATTTATGTGAAGAACATAATTTTTTAATATTACATATTTGTTTTTAACAGAGGTAAAGAATTCAGAAGAACAGTATAATAAAATAGTAATACCAAATGAAGAAAGTGTGGTTATCTATTATAAAATTAGACAGCAGCTGGCCAAACTTGGTAAAGAAATTGAAGAATATATTCATAAACCTAAATACTGCTTACCATTTCTGCAACCAGGTCGTCTGGTAAAGGTATGTGGTTTAATAACTTTTTTGGGATAAAGATTAAAGTAATTTCTTCTTAGTAAAGTGCCTTCTTCTATAGTACTGTAGCACTGTCCTCCCGTTCATCGATTTGCTTGAGCGGACACCAGTACCGTCTCCATTGTGAGACTTGTTACTGTTTTTGCCATATCGAATACACCACAGGGAGCTTGCCAGACTCTGCCAAGCGGGATACTCTCGGTGGCTTGCGGGGCTCTCTGAGAGCGACAGAGGAATTGAGCCCAGGTCGGCTGCGTGTAAGGGAAACGCTCTACCTGCTGTGCTATCACTCCAGCCCAGCTTTCTTCTGTAGATATAAATATAATATAATTGATTTATATTGCCTCTCTTACTACACCTGTTTCATATGTGAAACATTTTGTTCTTTTTCGGGGTTGGGGCTAGAGTTGGCAGTGCCCAGGCATTACTCCTAGCTCTACAGTCAGGAGTCACTCCTGTCTGCTCAGAGGACCATATGGGATGCCTGGCTCCAATCCAGGTCAGACACATGCAAGGCAAGTATCTTACTTGCTGTACTAGTTCGCCAGCCCTTCACATGTAAAACATTTTAACCCCCTGGTTCTTATTTTGTGGAGAAGAATAAAAATAGTGTGCACATTAACAAATAAAAGCTATTACTAATTATGAAATGATATTTAAAAATAAGGCAACATTTAATCTGGAATGAATTCACCAGCTGTGAAAGTGTTCTGATATTCTCAGAACAGACATACCATTGCTTTTTTAACTTTAATTTAATTTAATTTTTTTATTTCTCTTAGTGCTATGCTAGAGTTTTATGAAATTTGTTATTTTTTTTCGTAGGGTTAAAATATATACTTAAAAATTTGTAATTTTTTAAAATGATATTGTAAGTAACAAAGTATTTGTCCTTAGTTTAACAGTGACCTTTTTGTTTTTAATTGGTAGTTGGGTTTTTTAATCGGTGTTACGGGGTTGGGCTCTGGTCACAGTCACAGTCCTCCCGTTGTTCATTGATTTGCTCGAGCGGGCCCAGTAACATTGTGACTTGTTACTGTTTTTGGCATATCGAATATGTCGTGGGGAGCTTGCCAGGCTTTTCCGTGCGGGCGAGATACTCTCGGTAGCTTGTCGGGCTCTCCGAGAGGGGCGGAGGAATGGAACTCGGGTCAGCTATGTTGGCTGCGTGCAAGGCAAACGCCCTACCCACTGTGCTATCGCTCCAGCCCCGGGCTCTGGTAGTTAGTGCTTATTTTATGTGTCTATGCTCAGGTATCACTCCTGTTGAGGCTCAGGGACCCATATCGGGTACAAGAACTGAACCGAGGTCTGCAGCAAGCAAAGCAAGTTCTTTACCCACTTAACTATCTCTCTGGCCCAGAGCAATTCCATCTTGTCTTCTTAAATATTGTTTCTTTTATTTAATTTTTTTGTCGTTTAGGCCACCCGTTGTTGTGCTTAGGGCTTACTCTTGGCAGCGCTAGGGTACTATCTGTGGTGCTAGGACTCAAACCGGTACAAGGCAAGTGTTTTACCTGCTGTGTCATCTCTTGGGCCCTGATGTTTTTATGTTTATGCTTTTTATTTCTTTTGGTACTTGTTGGAGTGACAAGGTTATTACTTTCTCATTGTTGTTGCTTCTGTCAGGAAGTCATGCTACCTGGTTGTGTGTCTTCTTTTTGGTGGTCAGACTTGAACATAATGCAGCATCTGTTTTGTTTTTGCTTTTTGGGCCACACACCATGGAGCTCGGGGTCTTATTTTTGGTTCTGTACTTCAGGCATCATTCCTGGCAGCAATCAGGGGTCTATATGTTGTGCTGGGGATCAAACCCCGGTTACTGCGGGCAAGGCAAGCACCCTACCTGCTGCACTATCTCCTGCCCTACACGGCATATCTAATTGTGGTCTACTGAGTTGAGGCTATACCTTCGTTCCAGCTTTTCTTCATGCATATGTATCAGAAAGGACTAGTTGTATTCAAAACATGAAGACCGTGAACTTAAAATTGGCGTACTTTATAACTCAAAATTAGCACCTTCTGATTTACTTCAGTCTGTTGTGCTTGAATATCCAACACCCTTTTTGCTTCTAGCCATCACAATACGTTGTAATTTAATTAACTTTGCATGTTGGGGTCATTTCTGGGCTCTTTGGCTGGAACTGTTTGTTCAGAATATATTTTATTTGGAAATATAGTGTATTATTGGCCTCTAGTGACGTGAAAGTCTAATCTCTCTTTTTGGGGGTAAGGTTAGGAGTCATACTTTGCTGTTTTCAGGACTTATTTCTGCCTCTGCTCACATGTCACTCCTGGTGGGGCTGAGGGCCGTCTGGAGCGCTGGAAATCAAACCCTGGTTGGCTGTGAGCAGGACAAGTACCTTACTTGCTGTACTATCTCTTGAGCCCTGTATATAAATACCTTACTGTCCTTTTTGTTCTTGCAGGTAAAGAATGAAGGAGATGATTTTGGCTGGGGAGTAGTAGTAAATTTCTCCAAAAAGTCAAATGTTAAAGTAAGTTAATTATATAAAAATTGGGGCAGGGTGGCAGTTGGGCCATACCCATGTTGTTGGTTTGCCTGGAGGCACACTCCAAGCACTTAAGTGCAGTATGTTGTGGATGTGCCTGAGGCGAACTTTGAGTGCAGTGCCAAACAGAAGAAATTAAGGAATTGAAAAGAAATTAGATCTGGTCAGTTATACTAATTCTCTCTAAATGAAAACATTAATAACTTAAGGCTTAGTAACTATTAACTTACTTTTGGATGTCATGAATATATAAAAATAGTACTTATGAATCAAGGGTGATTTTGTTTTTTAAGATGAGGGACTATTCAAAGTTAAATTAGCCAATCCTATCTGTGTTTCGTTTATTTAAGTGCATTATACACAAGCCATTGCCAATAAGTGATCTCATGCCTTTTGTATTTTCATGCTTATTTTCCCTTACCTGTAAAATGAAGGGCTTAGATGTAGCATCTCTTTTCATTTGGACTGTTTTGTGCTTCTGCTGTTACTAATTTCTTTTCATTCATGTATGGGTTAGGAATTCAGCATTGAGATGAAAATTAGTCCTGACATACTTGTTAATTATGAGTTATGTCCAAATCATTTTTTGTGGAGAAACACATAGCTTTGTAACAGGTCCTTTAATTAACAATTTATAATTAATTTCACTGATGTGGTGAAGAGTTACTGGAACATGCTTATGAATGAAGAGACAACTTTAATTTCATGAAACATATACTGTGCTCAGTTGTAAAGCCAAGTGCTAAAAACATGGATTATGCCAGTTCTTTAAGAATTGATAACATTATTTTATTTTTCCTAGCCTAATTCTGGTGAACTGGATCCTCTATATGTAGTTGAAGTACTTCTGCGCTGTAGCAAAGAGAGTCTGAAAAATTCAGCCACTGAGGCAGCAAAACCAGCTAAACCTGATGAGAAAGGAGAAATGCAGGTTTGTACTTTATTTTTCATTTCAAGATTTCAGATTTTTTCAGCAGCAAAAACAAAGAAAAAATATTTTAGATACTTTGTGGATTATTTATATTTACCAAATTCCTGAATGCTTATAATTTCTTATTGGGATCTTTAACTTGGATGTTTTCAAGGTACTTTGGGTCAAGCTAAAGACATCTAAAAATTTATGGAATGACTAATGAGTTCTGAACTTATCATTTGTAGAAAAAGTAAAGCGATGAAAGAAGAATTTTTAACTTTTCTATGAGACTGACTTTTATATGGATTATAAAAACGTTTTTAGGATGAGAAAATTTTACATTTTTATTCAGCCCTTTTGCTTACTGTATTCCCATGAGTAATGGTTGCAGTTGTTTGTGTCTTGGTAAATCAGGATTGTTACCAAAGTTTCGTTAGTTAAAATGAATTTAAATGTGATTTTATTTCAACTTATTTATTTTCGTTTTTGAGTCACACCAGGCGATGCTCAGGGGTATTTCCTGTCTCTGCAGTCAGGAATTACTTCTGACAGTGCTCAGGGACCATATGGAATGCTGGGAATCGAATACATGTCAGCCTTGTGCAAGGCTGAAGTATCACTCTGGCTTAAATGTGATTTTAATTAAATGAAAAAGCATTCACTTTACCAAATAAGACACTCATGGTATTTTTGAAAATGTCTCCCAGTTTTCTTCATGTGAAGGAAATAAGTAAAATAATTGTAGGTGAAACCTTATTTTAGAGATTCTCAGTATCTCTGAGGACTGTCATACTGGGATTTTAGGTTGTTTTTTTTTAATGTAGGAGTACTGCTATTTAAGCCATTGATTAAGCTAATTGAATTGGGCATGATTTCCATGATTTTAGATTTTTTTAAACATTGGTTTAAAAATTTAACTAGGTTTTTTTTTTTTTAGTTGTTTTTGGGTTTTGGACCATACTTTGTGGTGCTCAGGGCTTCCTTTTGAATCTACACAGGAATCACTCCTGGAGCGCCAGGATCCAACCTGGGTCAGCTACTTGGAAATATCCTACCTGTTATAATCACTCCAGCCCCCCAAATTAGCTATGTCTTTTAAAGGAAATGTCATAATATTTATTATAATTAATTGCATTTTGTAGAAAATGGTCTGCTACTGAAAGCATCATCTGCTGCTATTTTGATTGATACATCATCATGAGATTCAGAGGTGACAGTAAAGACTGTTCATTAGGAAACATCCTAAGAGAATTATTTTTACATAGAATTCTGAGTAACAGCTTCAGTTTGTTTTTTAATTTTCACAACTTTCCCACACTGAACTATTAAGTGATTTTTTTCTTAATATGTGTTTACCAGTTGATATTTACCTATAAATGAAGTTGCAAGTTCTACAATTTAGTTTGTTTACTGTAACCAGTTACTGTACTTTGGAATGGTATATTTGTGGCATACATATTAGCCTTTTCTTATTGTAGTCACTAATAATAAGAGTTTAGATTCTTTTTTGAAGAATATTATCTAATGACTGATTTCATGGGGTTTCATTGAAACCTATTTCTTGTCTTTATCTGCTCTAAGGTCAGATTTTATTAAACATAGAACTGAACCTATTGTTTTACTTTAAAATTCTGAAAAGTATTATAGTACGTTATCAAGATATAATTCAGTTGTCACCAGCTTTTGTTCATGACTGCTTTCTAAAATGACTTTTCTTTTGATTTATGAAGTAGTATTTGTGAACTTACTTTTTCAGAAAAATTACATGTTGTAGAATATAGCCAACTTTGGTTCACAGTTTATTATCAGTGGTTGGCACTTTTGCACGCTGGTGTTCTAATGCTAGTATTTTTGTCAACGTTGCTTTACCAGCTTTAAATATAAACTGAGCACTGCTATTGGTCTCTTCATAAATATCAGAGATCTTAATAATAGATACAGATGTCAGGAAGACCATAATTATAAGGTTTGGGTGATTTGGGTAAAAATGTCTACAAAAGCATATGGTGAAAAAAAGACAATAGGTTAGTTATATATAATATTTACTTAAGAGTTAGAATACTCTTTAATAGTTTGTATAGAATGTACATAAACTCTTAATAATTGAAAAAAAATTTTTTTTTAAGAATTGGGAAAATCTTACTGGGAAAATTTAGCAGACCATTCATTGTGTCTATTTTTCAGATGGAAAGTTGTGATTTTCATCTTTACATGATGTATACTTTCTCCATTTAAAAATATCTACATTTTCTACCTTATCATTATTTAACTATTACTTGCCATTTATCTTTGATATCCTTGCTATTTTGTCCCTGTTTTATGCAGATTTATTGTCATCATTATTATATTGTGTTTAAAAGGTATTGTATTTTTTAATTGCACTATATCAAAGTATTTTATATATGTTGTCTTTCCCTTACAATTGTTTAATGATATAGATAGACTTTTATCACCATTTTTTTTTCTTTTTGGGTCACACCCGTCGATGCACAGGGGTTACTCCTGGCTCATGCACTCAGGAATTACTCCTGGCGGTGCCCAGGGGACCATATGGGATGCTGGAATCGAACCCGGGTTGGCTGCATATAAGGCAAATGCCCTACCCGCTATGCTATCACTCCAGCCCGTATCACCATTTTTAAGGTGTGAGAAATGAAATAATGTGATTAGATGACTTACTTCAGGTCATACTGCTAGCTGTGGATAGAACTCAGATTTAGGACAAAAACACTTAGCTTGCTGGCTGTTAACATTTTCATAGTGCCTCATTACAAAACAGCCAGCAAGCTAAGTGTTTTTGTCAGTAGACAGTTGTTTTAGTCCATGATGGTAAGTGGAAAGGTAGTTTTAGGAGACAACATGCTGGTGTATTTGGACTGATGAAGAATCCCTTCAGTTTGAAGAACCTTGTGAAATGTATAGGGTGCAGAATGGCATATTGGATGATGAAGCAAAGATACTAATAGAAGGAAAATGCATGGAATAAAGTTTATAGAGATAGGTTTGACTTTATAAATGCATTAATTTTAGTTAATTCAACAAATTTGCTCTTAAGAGAACACCATATCAGACTTTTTGGTCTCACTGAAATACCAAGTTGATAAGGGTATTCAGGAACACCCTGAAGATTCTACAGTTCAAAGAGTTTATGAATAGTTAACTATGTACAGAGTGCTGTCTGTGTGTGTACGTATAATTTCCTAAGAAAGGACAGAAGAGGGAATAATCAATCCTACTAGGTTTTCAGAAAGTCATTGAAAAGTTGTTTATTGACTTAATCATTTACAATATTTATGGAATTTCAGGAGTTTAGTGTCATAGTTCTCACATGTTGTAAATGCAGTTTAAATATCAAGATAAGTTTAGAAAATGTTGGAATTTGAAAATGTGCAAGTTTGATTATAATATATAATTCATTTATTGGTAGGTTGTTCCAGTTTTGGTACATCTTCTGTCTGCTATTAGCAGTGTTAGACTTTACATTCCTAAAGACCTTCGACCAGTGGACAATAGACAGAGTGTTCTAAAATCAATACAGGTATTTATGCATGTTGATTTTCATGAATTAAATATAATTCAGTGGGTATAAGAATTGTTTTAAATGACACCATTGGAATGTATATCAATATGTTGTTTTTTTCTTAGGGTAACTATAAACACTGCCAAAAATGGTAGGTTTTTTCTTTTTTCCTAGTAAAAATAGTAGCAGCAGATCTAATAATGTAGATAATGGACAGTAAAATAGGTTGTCATCTCTTTGACTCATGAAAGCACCTAATAGATATATGAAATGTTTGAAATGTTTTTTATATATAATTATGTGAATGCTTTAAAAGCCTTGCTTTTTTTTTGGAGGGGGGTTGCACCTAACGATGTTCAGTTACTCCTGGTTCCGTACTCAGGAATTACTCCTGGTAGTGCTTGGGGGACCATCTGGGATGCTGAGGATTGAACCTGGGTTGGCTCTGTGCAAGGCAAATGCCGTTCCTGCTGTACTATCGCTCCAACCCCTCATATCAGTATAGTTAATATGAGAAACTATGACTTGAAAATTTTTTTCTTAGTAGAAATAAAGGGACTTGATTTTTTCCATAAGGATTGGAATAGAATTTATTATGTAGGATAGGCTCTTAGCTGGAATTTTAGGGGGGGAATAATAAACAGAATGTTTTCGGTATAAAATAGAAAGTTTTTGGTTTTGGTATTGGGGCCACACCCAGCAGTGCTCAGGGCTTACTCTTTGGTTCTGCATTCAGGGATCACTTCTGGCAGTCTTGGGAGAACCATATGGGGTGAAGGGGATCAGATCCAGGTCAGCAATCTGCAAAAGGGAAATGCCCTACCCTTTGTACGATTCCTCCACCCCAGAACATAGAAAAGTTTAAGCTGTAGCCCTAGGTGGGTTTCTTGAATACTCTTGAAAGTCTTGTAATATTTCCTTTTTAAAAAGTTATAGTTTAGGTATCATGTTTGCATACCATTAATATTTATGGTATTAGATGTACAAGTTACCGTATCTCCCCCCCCACCCCCACACACACACACACACCACCACCAAAGTGGCCAGAACTTTCCGCAGCAATGTCCTCCTGTCCTCTTTGGTCTGCCTCTTATTTTCTCCCCATCTCTTCCTCCACTGGTTGGTAATCAGAGTTGGATAATTCAACTGGTCATTGTTCAGTACTTTCTATTCTCTTATGGCTAACCTTTCCTTTTGGAAAAAATCGTTTTTTTAAAAAACTTAAGACCTTAAAAGTTTCCTAAAATCGTTTCTAAAATCGTTTTTTTAAAAAACTTAAGACCTTAAAAGTTTCCTAGGGGGATATTTGCCTGCAGTTAGCTATCCCTTCCCTGAATGCATATGCTTACGATATTTAACAGTTAAATCAGTTTATTAGTAGAGATCTGGGTTCTTTGAGTTCTTTAAACTTCTCAAAGTTTATACTTTTAGAATTATTTTCCCTAGGAATCAGACCCAAGTAAATAATCAGAAAATTGAAAACATAATTAGATACTTTACCAAGGTTCAGTGCAGGTTTACTTATGATAGCAAGAAGTTTCAACAACCTAATTATACAATAATGGGTTTATAATTAAGTTGGGCCATATCCAGAACTAGAATTATTAGGAAATTGTAATAGATTGCTGTATCATTTAATTTGAGTATTGGGTTTCAGAAGGAGTTTTCAAAAATAAGTGTAGGTGCTGAGGATGTGATTTCAAGGTTAAAGCACATACGTTGCATGTAGGTTGCCTGTAGGAGCCCTGTGTTTGATTGAGCTTTGACACCAGGTGATCCCCAGCACATTGGAGAGTGACTCCCAAACCTTATAGGTGTGACCTCCAAACAGAAATAAAACAAAATAATAAATATGATGGGAAAATACCTTGTAGTTTAAGTGGAAAAGATTAAATTATATATGGCATCCTTTTCATATGTTTATGTTTTTATATTAAAACAATTTAAAAGGAAAATGTTTACTAAAGTTTTAATTTTGTCTCTTAAGATGAGTAATAAATTTTAATTTTCTTTTTTTTCCCAGGAAGTTCAAAAACGTTTTCCTGATGGTGTTCCTTTATTAGACCCTATTGATGATATGGGCATTCAAGATCAAGGACTGAAAAAAGTCATTCAGAAAGTAGAAGCTTTTGAGCATCGAATGTATTCTCACCCACTTCACAATGATCCAAATTTAGAAACTGTATATACACTTTGTGAAAAAAAGGCACAGGTATGGCAGAAGCATTATCATAAAATTCTATGTATTTTACTAAAAAAATGAGTAATTTTAATTTTCTTTTTGCATTTTGGGTTCATCAGTTAAAATAGAAAAATGTCTTTTTTGTTTTGTTTTTTTTTTGCGGGGGGGCACATCCAGATTTATCTTGGCTCTGTGCTAAGAGTGACCCCCGGCAGTGTTCAGGGAATTCAACTTTAGGTGACTGGGGGAAATTGGAGCCAGAGTTGTGCCATGATGCATATAAGACAAAGTGCCTTACCCTCTGTATTCTCTGTCCAGCCCCTTGTCTTCATTTTTTTTTTTTTGGTTTGTTTTGTTTTAAGGCTTCTAATACTTAAAATAGAAGTGGTGGTAATTAACAATTTGTCTTATTTCTGATTTAAGAGAAAGCTTTCAGTTTTTTAGCATTGAGTGTATTAGCTGTGGGTTTATAGTTTTTGCCCTTTAGTATTTTGAAGCATATTCCTGTTTACACCAGTTTTTTTTATTTGTATATTGAATTTTTTTTAATTATTTATTTATTGAATCACTGTGGGAAAAGTTACAGAGCTTTCAGGTTTAGGTCTCAGTCATGCAAATATCAAACACATTTCCCTTTACCAATACTTATTTTTTACCACGAACCCCAATAGAACCCACCTCCCACCCCTCCCAATTTCCTGTGAGACAGATGAGTTCTAGTTAATACTCTATCTACTTTGACTAGATTCATTGTTTCGATAAAAGATGCACCATTATTATTTAGAGTTTACCACCCCCCCCCACCCCCCACCAAAGCAGACATGCTGAAAAAGCGTTGTGAAATGATTTGCTTTCTACAGCTGGGTTTAAGAATTAAATGTTGTCGCGTGGCCGCGGTTTACTCCGAGGTATTCCATATGATGTCCTGATCCTGAGCATCTCTGTGTGTGACCTAAAAACTTAAAAAAAAAAATCACAACACAGAAGCTTGATGTAGTTGGGAGAGATTTTTTATTCTTGCTTCTCTCTATTATTGTGGTTGATATGTTGAGGCTTTCTGTTTGTTTTAATTCTGGTAGCCTATTTCTGTAATATATCCTTTCATTTTCTCTGGTATTTTTTTCCTCTTTAGACCAAAATTACATTCATTCTCAGTAGTCCATCCAGGGCTGGAGCGATAGCACAGCGGGTAGGGTGTTTGCCTTGCATGCAACCAACCGAACCGACCTGGGTTTGATTCCTCCGCCCCTCTCACAGAGCCTGGCAAGCTACCAAGAGTATCTCACCTGCATGGCAAAGCCTCGTAAGCTACCTGTGACGTATTCGATATGCCAAACACAGTAACAAGTGTCACAATGGAGATGTTACTGGGCCCTCTCGAGTAAATCGATGAACAATGGGAAGACAGTGACAGTCAATCCAGTACCATATAGAAAATCTCAATCTTCTGCAATTTTTTAATGTCCAGGGTTTCCATAAACTCTGTAATTTTGTCTTCAGTTTCATGACAAATCTGTATTCTGAAGTAACTGTTGGTCTTTTTGCCCTTCATATTTCTCTGATCATAAGACATTAAGAACAAATGCAAATTGTTCACAGTTAAAGTTCTACCTTTTATAACATGGTTAGCAAGGAAGTTTGCTCACTTGTGGCATATAATTTTCTAAAATTACCAGAATTAATCTGAACATATAATAATCTTTAGGGTTTACATACAATTTTTGGATACCTACAGTTTTCTCAATGGTATATATAAGATTGATTGATTTATAATTGTTCATAGTATCCTCTCAATCTTTTGTGTCTCTATGGATCTGTTTTAATTCTTCCTTTTATTTCTGATTCTCTTAGCACTTGTTGTTCTTTATAAGTCTAAAGTTTTATAACTATTTTGTTTGATTATTATATTCTTTGAACTATTGTTTCACTTGTTCATTGTGTCATTTCTTTGGTTGTAAGATTAAATTTTGTGATTTTTTTTCAGGGCCAGGATAAATTGCAGTAGTTAGGGAACTTGCTTACCATGTGTCTGACCTGTGTTTGTTCCTGGTACCACATGGTCCCTGGAGCATCACTGGGTTGATGACCTGGTAGCTGTGGCACTGCAGGACTTGAACAGCAAGTATTTATGTTTATAGGCCCTTAAGCTGACCCATTGGCCTGGTTAGCCAAATGGGCCCCCAGACCACTTGAGTACCACTTAGGAGCTCCCTTAACCTGGCCCCCGTTTTTGTATGTGATTTTTCTTGTTTACAAAGACCTATTTTGCTATTTAGTTTTGCTTTTGCTGCATTGCCATAAGTTCTGATAATTTTGTTTTCATTTTTGTCATGTGTTTTAAAATTTCTGCTCTAATTTATCGTTGACTGCTGAGAAGCATATTGTTTGGCCTTCACTTGTTTGAGGGTTTTTTTTTTTTTTTTTTTGCTTTTCATGGTTTTCTTTTTGTTTTTCATTTGCTTTCCTTTTTCGCTTTTTTAATTATATACCATTCTTACCAGAAAAAATGGAATAATCTTAAGTTTATTGATAATTGCCTTGTGTCTGTCTTTGAAAATATTTTATGTACACTTGAGAAAAATATGACTTCATCTGTCCTGAGAAGAAGTGTTCTATAAATACATAGTGACCCCCAACTCTTCTTAGTCATTTTAGGCTGTTATTTCCTCTATTTGCTGATTGTCATGGTTGTAAGCAGAGGTTTTTGTTTGGTTGGAGGTTTTTTGGATTGTTCTTTTAGGCATACCTGGCAGTGCTCAGGGCTTTCTCATGACTCTGACCAACAGCTGCTCCTGCTGAGGCTTGGGGACCTTTAGTGCTGAAGATTGAAACTGGGTCAGCTGCTTATAAGACGCATGCCTTTTCCACTGTACTCTCTTGTTTGGCCACATAAGTCTGGTTTTGAAATTCCCTACTACTTTTGTATTGCTCTTAGTCTACTCTTTGTTTCTATTAATTATAACTGATACTCCTTTATTTGATGCATATGTATAATTAAGTATAGCTTCTTGAGTAAACCTTTAATCATTAGTCCATATATCCTTTCTCTTATGTTTCAGTGGAAATCTGTGTTATTTTAAATACAGGTGTATCTGCCTTAGGTGACCATTTGCTTATAAGATCCTTTTTCCAGTCTTTTTCTTTAAAGGTAAATCAAGATGTGTTTTTTGTAGGCAGCAAAAAATTTACACAAAAATGTAAGTAAGTAAGTACACACCTTAAATAAGTACACATCTCAGGGAGAGGTACATACTTCAAGGGTAAATGCAGGCAAAAAAGACTGAATTTTGTTTGATTAACCACTGGGTGCCTTTTAGTTGATGAATTCAGATCATTAACATTAGGTTTATTGTCTTTTTATATTATTGTGTTGTTGATCTATATACAATACAGTTACTTGATACTTTGATCAGAAAGCTTCTGGTAATTTCTAATATTATAAAGCTCTTTTTAAGAATCTCTAATATTAACTAATATGTGCTCATATTTATTAAAGCTTCAGGGTAAATATTTGGAGGATGAAGTGAAGTGTGCTGTAAGGTATTCTCACAGATTTTGTTTAATTTTATGATTAAATCCAAGTTTACTTCATTTTACTTCATATAGATTGCATTAGATATTAAATCTGCAAAGCGAGAACTTAAGAAAGCAAGAACTGTTCTGCAAATGGACGAACTGAAATGTCGCAAACGTGTTTTAAGGAGATTGGGATTTGCTACTTCTTCTGATGTCATAGAGATGAAAGGACGAGTGGCTTGTGAGATTAGCAGGTAAGACCTAGTTGTTCTACAAAACTGATTTTAAAGGAGATACTATATTTTAAATAGCACTGAATAGCACTGTCCTCCTGTTGTTCATCGATTGGCTGGAGCGGGCACCACTAACGTCTTCATTGTGAAACTTGTTAGTGTGTTGTGGGTTTTTTTTTGGCATATCGAATACGTCACGGGTAGCTTTCCAGGCTTTGCCGTGCCAGCGGAATACTCTCAGTAGCTTGCCAGGCTCTCCGAGAGGGCCGGAGAAATCCAACCCAGGTCAGCCGCATGCAAAGCAAACACCCTACCTGCTATGCTATCGGTCTGGCCTATATTTTAAAATAGTAGAGTATGGGGCTGGAGCGATAGCACTGTGGTAGGGTGTTTGCCTTGCACACAGCCAACATGGCCGACTCGAGTTCCGAGTATTTCGCCCACACGGCAACACCTGGCAAGCTACCCCTGATGTACTCAATATGCCAAACACAGTAACAATAAGTCTCATGATGGAGCCGTTACTGGGCCCGGAGCAAATCAATGAACAACGGGAGGACCAATATCTAACACAAACTTTGTTAGCATTTGCATGATGTTTTTTCTTCAATACGTTGTGAGATTGCTATGTAATTGTAATTGTTACACACATTTATAGTACATTTATAGTTCATACACAGTTCTACAGTTTATATATTTTTGTGTCCTTTGTGCGTGTATGTGTGTAAAATTTTTTCTACTTTGAAACTTAGTCCAGTAACTGTTTTCCTTTTGTAGGTTCCTCTTGATTTTATTAACACATTGGGCTAACGTATGTTATAGAACAGTTAAATATATACTGGCTATTTATATTTAAATGTACTGGCTATTTATATTTAAATGTTCTATAACATTTAAATATAAACCGTTTTAGTAATCTTCGTACATTAAAAGTCACCGTCCTGGAAACCTAATTTGAAACAGCATCATTCGCTCATTCTCTATATTGGTTTCTATTGGACAGAATTTCAGGAGGACAGGATGAATGAGTCTGACGCAGGTCTCATATGATTGGCATCATAGAATGAGAGTTTTTTGCTTTTGTTCAACTTAACCTTAATTGTTCACTATTTTGTTCACAATAGCCATAATTTTAAGCATTATTCTTGAGAGTCATAAAAGACAATTCTGCAAGTTGAGAGAACTGCAAACTTTATATGTACGTGGTTTCAGATATTCATGGTGAAGCTTTATTTCTAGTTTTTTCTTAATCATCTAATTGAGATATCACTCCAGTGCCTGAGAGACTAGAAAATAGAACTATTCTTGGCCACCAAAAGAGGGCAGTAATTGCCTCTTGCTATTACAGAAGGTTATACCATATATATTTTTTCACTTAGAAGAGCCAAAATGCAAAATCTTTGATGAAGTCTCTTTAACTTTAATTGTTAAATACTAATTCAAGAAAATGTCTTTTTTTTTACACCAGCACAGTACTTTTTTTTTAAGTTTGGCAATGGCACAAAAACCCAGTAACATATTAAACAAGTTAAAAAGTCAAATGCTAGAGAGTACTGGGAATTTTTTTATTTTTTTACATAATTAGTTTTAAGATTCTGAAAAGAAAGCAAAACAAGGGAGTTTGGCTTCTAAAAATACACCACAAATAAATACACATAGAAACATAATTTATCTTTACAAAAATTACAGCCAAGCAATAGAAAAGGATGTGAATAATGAAGATAATAACACATTTACCACATATGTCTCATACACCGAAATGCTATATCTGTATCTGTACTGTCAAGTGCCATGTGTAGAGAGCCAAGCAGAGTAAATTTAGGCTCATTCTGAGGTTAAGAAATATTTGAGAATTTAATGCTTATATGTAATAACATACTCAATTAAAACTTTCTATATAGCAAATTCTCTATCATGACAATATTTATTCTACTTACTCTGAGAAGTTGTCGTTTTTGTTGTCAATACAAAATTTTTGACCAATATCAAAGTTCAGGTAAAACAAAAATTGAAGACATTTTCTTGTATATGTGGCCGTTACAGGGGCATGATTGAATGTGAGAGAAAATATTTGATTTCACACCAAGTTTCTACTGAGCCTTGTCAAACCAAGTAGCTCAACTATAAGGCAAGAAAAATTAACCTTCCTAACAGAAATAGTGGGTCTTACCAAGTAAAGATAGTAGCTCAATCTTAGAGAAAAAACCACAATGACTCCTTACATACAAACATCTTAAACATTTGACATTGAAACAGACATCTAGAAATTACTTAACACAAGATAACGTTTTAAGTCATTGTAGCCAAATTTGTCTGTGATAAAGCTCAACTTTCCTGATATAGTAAAAAAACATAAAAATAGAAGTCTTAATCATTTACCTAAGATTAAATCTAGACTGCACTGTTAGTCTACTATGCCAAAAATAATTATGAAAATTATTTCTTTGTAATAATAAATGAATATAGAAATTAATTTGTTACATGTAGCTAGAATACGTGTAGTCATTGAAGAATGGAAACTATGACCTAAAATGCAGTTTCTGTTCATAGAGGTCTGTTCATAGAGGTACTGGTACATATCAAAATACATTATTTTCTCTAAAATCGACTTATTACTTTTCTTAATTATTCTGAATTAAGACCCAGCCATGACTAGATTTATTATTAAACACAACCACTATCCACACTGTACACACTTAAAAATTTTTTCCCTTTTTTATAATTTTATTTATTGAATCACTATGAGAGCAGTTACAAAGCTTTCGTGTTTAAGTCTCAGTCATACAATGAAACACCTGTCCCTTCACCAGTGCCCATTTTCCACCAAAAACCCCAGTCCCCCCCCCCATTCCACACCCTCCCCCTACCTGTTGGGCAGATGATTTTCACATTACACTCTCTCTTTGATTGCATTCAATAATTCGACACCAGACCCACCATTATTATTAGGGATTTTACCCCAACACTCAGATCTGCTGAAAAGGCAACAGTAGACAATTTGTTTTCTATTGCTGGTTATGAATAACATATGATGTTGCGTGTCCACAGTAGTGACCGTGCAATTTTGGGATTCTGCAATTTTAACCATTAAATCTGGAGGGATTTCAGCCAAAACCTGCTGGGTTCTGAGATTTGTTCCTGAGTCTCTTGGATCATGGCCTTTAAGCAGCTTGATCAGGAGCCAGAGAGGCCGTGTGTGGGCGGCGACTTGGGATCGCTTTGGGGCAGGGAGGAAAGGGCCAGCTCCACCGCCATCCCTCCAGGCCCTGCATTTCTCATCACTTGCAGGCCCAATCCTGACTGTCCAGTGACCTCTGGAGGATGGCGGCCACTTAAAAAAACTTTTATATACTTATTTTGGCTTTTTGGGTCAATTCTGGAGATGCTCAGGGGTTATTTCTCAGGAATAATGGTGGGTCTGCTCTCACAGTGTTTAGGGGACATAGGATGCTGGGGATTGAACCCTGGTCTGCTGTGTTCAAGGCAAATGCCCTACCTGCTGTACTATCACTCTGTTCACACTCTATTCACTATTGATTCAGTACTCACTCAAGGTAGAGAATTCAGCTGATCTGAATTCTCCCAATCTTATTGCAGGCATATGTAAAGAAAACAAATAACAACCTTTAAAAGACCATCACCATTTGGGGGTGGGAAGAATGGTTCTTTATTTGAATGTGTAGGATTTGGTATTTGCTAGAATGGGGCCTTAATATGAAGTGTGTTTTACATTTATTTTTTATGTAGTAATAAATGTAAGGACTGTGATCTTCTTTGCTAGTTAGTACTTTTCACTTCTCACTGATTTTTCATTATGGTCTAGTGATGTATTTTATTAAAAACTACATGTTTAGGATGAATGAGTACATATGTGTATTTTTATATTCTGACTTTTTTTTTTTGTGGTGGTATAGTGCTGATGAGCTCCTCCTAACTGAGATGATGTTTAATGGCCTTTTTAATGACCTGTCTGCTGAGCAGGCAACAGCACTACTCAGCTGTTTTGTGTTTCAAGAGAATGTGAGTTAATTAAATTCTTAATTTTAATGGATTAAAAATTTTTAATTTCTTAATGGACATGTTATTTAATACTGTTGCAGGTTTGTTTAAATAAAGGCCCCATCTGGAATGTATGGATGTAGTGCTGGGGATCAAACTTAGGGCTTCAGGCATGCTAAACGTGTACTCTACCACGTGAGCTATCTCTTGTCTTCATACAACTTTTTTAATTAAAAAAGGTTACTTGCAATTACATGGATGCATATATGTTAATTAGAAATAAGTGCAAGTTTAAACATAGAAAAATGGTATTAGGTAATTAAGTTAAGAGGCTGGAAACTATTACTCGGTGACTTTGGAGGAGGCCCAAGTTTGATACCTGCCACTCTGTGGACCCCTGAGCTCTCCTGGAATACTATTTACTTCAACCCTTGATGATACTTTAAAAAGAATGTTTTTAGCCAGAAATCAGAGTAAATATATTCGGGTACTTGTTAAAAAAATAAGTCTACTTGATAAATTAATCTGATACTAATTTCTATTTTTGGGTTTTTTTGGGGGGTCACACCCAGTTGTGCTCAGGGCTTACTCCTGAGAAAAAATTGTTATGTGGATGGACTTAGGAGGATTAGACCTCACTGATAGAATTTTGAGACTCAAAGGAGAGATGAGAGAACAAACTGCACATTCCTGGTGGAAGAGTATTGGTAGAATCATAATTAGCTTAATGCAACTAATTAGCACCAGTGCCTTTTACAAACAACTAGCAGAGAGAAAGTAAAAGTGGTATATAACTCTTGACCCTGAGCAGGTACATATAAAAGATTTAGCAGTCTTGTCATCTTTTTTCACTATAAAACTGATATTTTAGTAGTTTTAACATTTCTAATGTTCTAATTAAGAAAGTCACTGGCTTTTCACTACTAGGAAGGGCAATTTTGCAAACAATGAAACTCAGAATAAACTTTTTTTGGGTGGAGAATAAACTAGAATAAACTTTTTTTTCTGTAGTACTCCCTTTCTGGGTATGCCGAGGACCTGAGGATGCTGTGCTGTGGGGGCCCTGCAGTGCTAGGCAGTACCCAGGCCATCTCAGTATACTTGGGACCTCCAGAACTGCACCTCCGGAGGCCTGGAATATGTGTGCTGTGAGGGATCTAATCAGAGCCAGCTACAGTCAGGGCATGTGCCTTTCCCCTGTACTGTCTCTTCGACCCCTACTAGAAAGTTAACTATTCTCTGCTTGTCAAGAGAGCTAGAAATATCTGGGTAAAATAAAAATTATGGACATTATTTTTAATATTGTTTATTCCAGATTTTCATTTTCTTGACATTTAGGATTTGCCCGGAAGCCAAAACTTTCAAAATCACATTATGATAAAATAATTTATAACAATGTTTCTATAAATAAACTAGTATGTTTATATTTGCTCTCCCTCAGTTTCAGTTTTGGTCACAGTGTACTAGTTTAGTACATTTTAGAAATTTAACTGTAAATTTTTTTAAAAACAATAAGAGTATTAGAATTTAGGATGAAAGCAGTGGTAAACTTTAGTAAACATTTATAAATCCTTAATTTTAATAGCTAAAGTCATATGACTTGATATTAATGGGATAACATAAAGAAAACTTTTAAAGCAGATATATAGTGCAACTTAAATTAGGAGTTTTTCGTCTTATTTTCATTTTCTTTTTCAGTCAAGTGAGATGCCCAAATTGACAGAGCAGTTAGCAGGACCACTTCGTCAAATGCAGGTAAGAATTCTTTGAACTGCAAATTTCATTAATTGTAGGTAAAAATTATTTGACAGTTTGATTATAGTATTTTATTCATACACAGCTTTGTTAATGAATAAATATATCTTGATGTTAGTCATGTCATTTAATGCTGTTTTAATAGCCTTATGGTGGGTGGATTGTAGGGGATAGCTCTCAAAGCAGTGCTCCAGGGGTCCCAGGTAGAGGCCACTCCCAGAGATTCTTTGCCAACAGTTGGGTCATTTGTTCAATCTGAGGGCTCAAGGATGTGCTGGGGATTACTTGAGGTACCCTATTGGTGCTCAGGATCTTTCAGGGCCACCACATAGTGGTATTGGGGCACTTTAAGTATCTAGGGATTCTCGGGAGGCTCTGTGGTGCTGGGAATTGTCCTGGGCCAGCCACATGCAGGGCTTATGCCTTATACACTGTACTGTTTCTCCAGCCTCTGTGGTATTTATTTTAATAATTAAGTATTCTCACATACCCATGTAGTAAATTGTAAGAATTAATGTGATTGCAGAGTTAACCCTGCATTATCTATTTAGACTAGCAATAATTCATTGCCTGTGACATTTCCAAGGTATGAAGAATAGCATGTTGAGGAACTTGGATTCAAATTTCTTGGGGTTTTGTTTGGGGGGTGGGGGGGAGCAGTTTTGTTTTTTGGATGGGGGCCACACCCGACTGCTCAGGTGTTACTTTGGGTGGTGGTCAGGAAATCATAAGTCCTGCTGGGGATTAAACCTAGGTAGGCTGGCTGCATGCCAGGCAAGTGACTTTATTCCTGCATGCTTTTTTCAGCCCTTTGCTTATTTATTTTTTTAGTATAGTTTTCCTTTTTAGTTTAAAAGTTTTAAGTTTTGTTTTAAGAAATTATCTGGATTCCCAAAGCCACCTTTAGCTTATCATAACAATGTGTTGTTTTTGCTATTTTCTTTAGATAACCTAATTTTATCTACCTTTCTACATTAGAAAGACAGGGAAATACGAACTGTAAGATATTATGAGAGGATTGAAAAGGACCCTTCCATGAACATTTACCCCTAGGATCAGTAAGAAATTGAAACTTTGATTTACTCAGGAAGTCTTTACAGATCTAGGATTTTTAATTTTTAGATTACAAAGTAAAAAGTGAATCTAAATTTCTCACTTTGAGGAGAAAATTAAGGGTTTTTTTTTTTTTTAAAGTATTAGGGGTGCCAGAGAGAGTGAGAGTACAGGGTGTTAGATACTTGCCTTACATCTTGCCCACCCTGGTTTGAATCCATAACACCATATTCCCGAGCAGAGTCAGAAATAGTCCATCTACCAACAGATACAGCACCCTAGTAGGGTAGTTATGGGGGGAAACATTTTGCCATTGGATTTATACTTTTACTAAGTATGTCATTAATTTCTTTATTTTGTTAATGGAATGATTAAAGATGAAATGCTACCCTTGAATAGTTTTGAGTTAGGGTTTTTTTGTAGGAAAAGAAGTTAAAATAATGACCTTGATTCTGGTTTCTTAGTTAACTGCTTTAATGTAACAGGGAACGCTTGATCGCTAAGCAGTGGAACAGGCACTTTGGCTTCCTAGAACCAGAATGTTCAGATTGCAGGCATACTTCTAGAATGAACATGGGGCATTGTGGAATATTGACTCGGAGACCTATTGACAGAAGTATATAGGGGTTCATAAACAAGAAAACTAAAGTTTCTCTCTGTCTTCGAAGGAATGTGCTAAAAGAATTGCAAAAGTTTCAGCAGAAGCCAAATTGGAAATTGATGAGGAAAGTTATCTAAGCTCTTTTAAGCCTCACCTAATGGATGTAGTTTATACTTGGGCAACAGGAGCTACTTTTGCTCATATCTGCAAAATGACAGATGTCTTTGAAGGTATGATGAAATTTTGTTTTCATTCGCCTATTTCTGATGTGAGATCTACTTCTCTTTACATATTTCCTTGTGTAGAGAGAAAAATATTCTTATGTTATTGTAACTAAACAAGAACAATGATTAAATTCACAGTAGAAAAAGTAATCTTTTCCTTCTGTAGAGAAAAATTATTCACCTCAAATCCTTTTAATAAGCACATTATAAATTCTTAAAGGTACGAGTTTGTTATTCTGTGTCAGTGTCTGCAGTTACATAACAGGTTATCCTATCCCGGCAATTTTATATTTGTGTATTTCTCTTTTTGGATTTGTTTTTGGTAGAATTAAATGACTTTTACAATATAATTCCACTGAATCATAGAACTGAAAATACAGTCTGTCATGGCATTTCTAACAACAAATTGGACTTTAGTTAGAATATTACTTCAGCAGAAATTTAAGAGATTGGAAAATAAATGTTAACAGAAAAGAAATTTTAAAAGAATAAGGGCAAAGGAAATATACAAGTAATTATAAGTTGTAAGAAGTAAAGATTGTAATTACAGGTGTTCTTCATTACAAAGCACTGTACTGTAGCACTCTCCTCCCGTTATTCATCGATTTGCTTGAGCAGGCATGAGTAACGTCTCCACTGTGAGACTTGTTACTGTGTTTGGCATATCGAGTATGTCACAGGGAGTTTGCCACGCTATGCCATGCAGGCGAGATACTCTCAGTAGCTTGCTGGGCTCTCTGAGAGGGGTGGAAAAATCGAACCCAGGTTGACTGCGCTGGCCATGTGCAAGGCAAACGCCCTACCGCTGTGCTATCACTCCAGCCCTTCAAAATGTTTCACATATTTATAATGGTTTTTTTTTTGTTTGTTTGTTGTTTGTTTTAAACTGAGCTAGATTTTCTTTCATTAGTCTTAAAAATAAAAACAGGAGCTGGAGCAATAGCACAGCAGGGAGGGCAATTGCCTTGCACATGGCCAACCCAGGTTCAATTCCCAGCATCCCATATGGTCCCCCAGGCACCGCCAGGAGTAATTCCTGAGTGCAGAGCTAGGATTAATTCCTGAGCATGCTAGGTGTGAGACAAAAAGCTGAAAAAAAAAATCAGACCTTTTAGAGAATGTTATAAGAATATTTACGGCATGTACCATAGATTATAGATCTTTTTGGGGAGAAAACAAGTGATATTGTAATTCAATATGGCTGATATTTTAGACTAATAGATTACTGCACTTATATATCAATGATTTTTTTATGATGCATAGGTAAAATTTTTCTGACAAAATACTAAAACTTTGTAATGTAAGTCTTTAGCATATTGAATTCTTTTTTTTTTTTTTTTTTGCTTTGCTTTGCTTTTGGGTCACACTTGGTGATGTTCAGGTGTTAATCCTGAACACTCAGAAATTACTTTTGGTGATTCTCGGGGGACCATATGGGATGCCGGGGATCAAACCTGAGTCAGCCTCATGCAAGGCATAACGCTCTACCCGCCGTACTATTATTCTGGCCCCACACATAGAATTCTTTGTTTTTTTTCTTTTTTCACACATTGAATTCTTAAGTATGTTCTTATGGTTTCTTTGCTCATTTGTTGCAGTGGTTTTCATTCTTTCTACATCTACAGATTAACTGGTATGTTGTTATAGTCCTTTACCTAAAATTTGTTTTTATTTTAATAGTATCATTTCCGAATCCTGGGTCACTGTTCATTATATAAATTCTTGAATCAGAATTGGTTCTTGGGATCAAACCCAGAGCCTCACAAAGGCAAGGCTAATATTTGAATTCTAGTCTTTGTAACTAATGTCACGTGATGGCTAAATTATCTAAATACTATAATATCTTATCCATAAATTTTGCATCACCTAGAGACTCCTAAATCATCTTCATCCATTGAAAATTTATTTCTGTAGGAATGGTAAATTTATAAACGTTACTATGTTAGTTACTAGTTAAATTTTACAGCAACAGTTGAGGGTGTGAAAAGAGGGGAATAATATTGTCACTTGTTTTGCATGCGGCCTTATTGGAGTTTGATTCCTGCGCCCCCGCCCCCATGTGAAACCCAGAGCTTTGCCAGATATGGCCCAAAAACCAAACCATAAAAGTCATTTCTCTTTTCCATATACTATGTTCATCTCTCCTTACCAACCTTCTTTTTAACCATGTTTTTATTTAGTTTTCCATTTCAGAATGTTCATTCTTTCCTCATCTTATTATTGTACATGCTTTACATAATTGGAATATACTGCACTTATATCTCTAGCATACAAAGCAGTGTGATTTGTCTTCACAGGCAGAAAGTATCAGCATCAGAACTTTTTTAATGTACAATGCTATATTTGTTTCTAATGAGTTTTTTTTCTTTTTGGGTCATACCTGGTGATGCTCAGGGCTTTCAGGAATTACTCCTTGCAGTGCTTGGGGGACCATATGGGATGCTGGGAATCAAACCTGGGTCGGCCGTGTGCAAGGCAAATGCCCTTCCGGCTGTGTTATTGATTGCTCTGGCCCCTCTAATTAGATTTTAAATTTTCTTTTTATTAGAAAACAGAGGTACTTGATATAAGAAGTCATTTAAGCACAAAAATTTGTAAGTCTATAACTGTACCTCATGGTGTGTCACTAATAAAAATATTTTTAAAAAAGGAAGTCATTTAGGTATATTTTTTAATTAAATATTAACTGGGCCTTACTATAATGATTAACACCATGTCTGAGACAAGAGAAGACTTTATACTATAACTCATTTGAGGAATTTTTAAACTATACAATTACTTTCTCAGTTATTACCCTGAAACAATGAGAGAATGTAATTTTTTCTCAGTTTGATCAAATTAATGTGGTAATCAAAAAGTATATTTGTATGGGTAAAGTGCAGGGGTTTCAGTTCACTAATCCACGTAGTAAATCCTTTGTACCCAGACAGAGTCTGCTACTGTTTATTTGTCTGTGCAAAAACAGTATTGCAGTCTTCATCAGACATGAAGGGCTTGTTTTTTCCACCAAGCCATATGTCATCAACAGCTATTACTAATCACCACTTAACGACTGTGTCTACTTTTGCTTGCTGCAGGTTTTTAAAGAAAGTGCTATGTAGTACTTCCCACACTCTGCCATGCTCTTCCCTCATGCCTTTCCCCTAGCATTGTTTTGCCCTTCTTTAATCATGTGAAAAGGAATTTTTTAGTGATTTTTTAAAAAATATTTATAGTATTAATAATAGAGTAACATTTCTTTGTGTGTATTGTTTTCGCTTGGGCTGGAGCAATAGAGAGCGGGTAGGGCGTTGGTCTTGCACGCAGCCTACACGGGTTCTATTCCTCTGCCCCTCTCAGAGAACCAGGCAAACTACCGAGAGTATCTTGCCTGCACGGCAAAGCCTGGCAAGCTACCCGTGACATATTCGATATGCCAAAAACAGTAACAACAAATCTCACAATTTGTTGTGAGACGCTACTGGTACCCGCTTGAGCAAACTGATAAACAGGACGGTGCTACAGTGCAATGCAGTATTGTTTTTGCTTAAATTTTGGCAGTTTTCATACTCCTTAGGAACTTGCACCTGGTACTGATTTGATGAAAAATTAGACTCGTTAGAAATAGGTACAGGCTAGGTACATGTGAGCAACAGTCTCTGCCTTCACAAAAGTCTTCTGGGAATGGAGAGAAAGTTCCATGGGCATTGCATGCAGGGAGCAAGTTCAATCCATACTACAGGGAGTGTGAACCTCATCCCTGGCATATCCAGGTGTAGCCTGAAAGCAAAAAAAAAAAAAAAAAAAAAAGGAAAGAAAAGAAAAAATGAAAAGGGTTCTACCTAAGTTGGCATCTAAACGTCAATATTGTGGGAAAATATATTTGTTTTCCTAATCTCAGACCAAACTCATAAAAACCACTTAATTTTAAGGGCATAAACTGTAACCTCTTTGGGGGAAATGCTGCAAAGCTGAAGGTAGAAGTACGATTCAGACGTGTCCCCCCCACCCCTTTTAGAGAATGATTCTCCTTTGTTTGATAACCACATGAGCCTGATGCTTTTAAAATTCCCCTTAAAGCATGTAAGCCCTAACATTCAGTGAGTAAATAGTGAAATTTGCTCTATTTATATGAGTATTCATCTAGAAAAAGGAACGAAATGTTGATTTATGCTAAAATGTGGAATGAACTTCATAGAGATTAAAGTTCATTGTTGGGTCTGGGGAACTTTTTTTTTCTGCCAAAGGTCATTGGATATTTATAACATCATGTACAGGTCATACAGTGCAGGGAGATGGGTCATGGGTAGACTTGAGAAACACGTGTCTTTCCCATCTTTCTCAGACTATAAGAAGTCCAAGGGCTTTCTATAGCCTGTGGGCAGATATTTCCCACCCATGTTCTAAGTAAAAAAGAGCTAGATACAGAGTTCTCATGATGTGGAATTCCATTTATCTGAAATGTCCAGAATGGGCAAACCCATAAAAACCAAGTATGGTTGCATGGGCCAGAAAGGAGAGAGGATGGAGGTTACTACTTTATGGGTCTAGTTTACTTTTGGGGGCAGTAAAGGTATTTTAAAATTAGTGATTATTAATGTGCAACTATAGATATACTGAAAACAACTGAATTGTGTGCAAGCTTATAAAGGGTTAATTTTATGCTGTGTGAATTGTATCTTCATGTGTGTTTTTCAGAATGGTGGCTTCAGCCCAAGTATAAAAAAGGAACTTGCACTGAATTATGCATTTTTAAATTGTCAAAGTGATATATATTATGTTAAATGTACTGGACCTCAATTTCTTCTAAAAAGCAGTAACTAGTAAGAAAGTAATTTAGCTTTCTACTTTGACAAGAAAAAATTATTGTAGTAAATCATTAGTTTTGTGAGTTTATTTCTGTTTCCAGTTGGCTTCACTTAGCCTAGAGCAGGGCTTAAACTTTTTCCACTCATGATCCTGAGAAATGTAGTATGGGCAAGGGCTGCCAGAAACACCTCGGGTTCATTATGTGCTTAGTTTTGAAT